ATTAGTTAAAATTATATGTTTTCGAATCAATTAAGTTTGCCTTATGATTTACGGAAAGGAGTTTTTATACATGTAGAAACGCAGTATAACATGTATATGTGTGAAAGTTTAAAATAAATTTAAAACATTGGTACACATGAAATTCAGAAAATAAGAAATATGGTTAAAAGAAAAAAAAGAATATGGTTTAAGTCCACCATAATAAGAAAAAATATTGAAAAACAGAGACTGACGAAAACTAATTCTAAAATTTCTATATTTTTTAATCGTCTTATTTTTCTTTAAATTATAATTATTAAAATGAACGTTTACGTCGTCGCAGTGGCGTAGCGTGGGTATCGGCTGCACGGGGCGGAAGACAATTTTGCCGCTCTCTTAATTAGGTATTTCGATTTAATGTATACTATACATTATATACATTAATTCTAGAGAACTTTTCGACAAGAACAGACATCATTATTTTGAATTATAAAGGCTAAATTTTAAATAAAAAAGTTTATTTGCTTTACAATCACGTTTATTAATATAAAAATTCCTACTACAACCATTGATATAACAGGTACAAAGGCAAAGGCGCAATTAAGGAAGCTCCCCCCATAAATATTCCATGTTATACATGGCATACTGCATACAGCATACTTAACTCACAATAGTGTCACATACAAAAAGACACATTATAGTAAATTTAACTAAAATACCTACATTAACATGGTATATAAGAGTAGGGGTGAACTACAGATTATTTTAAGTTTTGATAGGAGGGCTGTATCCCCCTCAGATATTTTACCTTAGTTGCGCCTATGCAGTGGCGTAGTAAAGGGGAGGGGGGTTAAGGGGCTATAGCCCCCCATGGGCCGTGTTTATATGTATAGTGTATCTTGACTATTTAATAGAATCAATGGATGCTCATTTTAATCAAAGGCTTATTGATGTTATGCCACTCGAAGGACTTATATTCCGACCAATTTAAATATGTATGACGATGAAAATATTATAAAAGCTGCTAAAATATATGCCCAAGATCTCCATGATGATACCTCATCTATAATCAGAGCTGACCTGTTTATATGAAGGCAATAATGAAGTCAAAATACTATTCCAAAACCGAATTATGCTCTTAATTCACTCTCTCATTGCACCAATCTTCAACCTAACATTAAAATACTTTTAAAATTATTCGCCACGTTACCAGTTACCTCTTCCACTTCGGAAAGAACGTTTTCTGCACTTAATCGCTTAAAAAATTGTTTAAGAAGCACCATGTCGGAAAACAGACTGAATGGGTTAGCTGAATGGCTAATATAAATAAAAAAGAGCAATTCGATGAAAGTGAAATAATAACGGAATTTTCCAGAAATTCGCCTATGCGGAGGCAGCTGTCAGAGTGGAGCAAGTGACTGAACACTGAAACCAAAATTATTATTATTATTATAAATTATATATTAATAAATATTTTTAAAACTATACTAAAATGCTTGAATTACATTTAAAAACTTGATGGTAGATGGTGGGGGGGATAAAGGGGGAATTCTCATATCTTCTCTTACCTTACTTATCCAAAAAAGTGATTAGCCCCTCCCATTTAAAAATCCTGGCTACGCCATTGCGCCTATGTACAAAGATTATTTAATCATGCGATCGTCGAGGTGAACCCTAATTTTAAGTAGGTTAGATAGTTATACTCAGTGGCGTAAATTGGATCCAATTTCTGGTGGTGCAAAGGCATATTCTCAACTTATAATTTCCAACACACCAATTTTCCAATTTCCTAAGTAAAATTCTTCCCAATAAACTATATCTTTTTCCATACATTTCTTTAAATAACAAATTAATTTTGAATTATTTTAGCATTAAAACCTTTATTATCAGGGTTCGGATTTTATAGCATTTACTCTTATAATATGATATAAATAAAGATAGCAGAGTGAGCTATTAATTTGTGTTATTAACCAGGGACTTCAAATTAAAAATTTTATTCTGCTATTTTTTACATATTTGAAGTATTTTAGATTTTCAGTACTATTTTTGAAGTTTTAGTGATATTTTTTGCTAATATAAATGATTTTATGCTTTATTTTATAATTTTCATAAATCTCGTTTATATTAAATGAAAAATAGTATTCATTTGTGTGAATCCAAAAATTCCCACATTTTTTTTCATATTAATAATTGATAAATAATATGGTATTTACTATTTAACATGTTACTAGAATCCAGGGCTTCAAACCATAATGATTTTTTGTGGTTAATGGTTTTAGTTGATTTACTATTTTATTCGGTTTAAAAAATTGATTAATATTGATCTTATATTTTAGTTTTTTAAAACCGGTTAATTTTGTTTTTTTAAAAAAATATATTTTTTTATAACAATTTTATACCTCAGATAATTCGTTGTCATAATTATGAAATAATGAATTAAAAAATTAAAATTAAAATGAATTAAAAAATTCAACTATCGTAAGATATTCTTAAAAAAAGTTCATAATTTATATATTTATGATATATTAATATACAATAAATAATATGATACTCGTTTTTAAGTTTTTATTACAATATTGAATATACAAACACACACAATGAATAACATAACTGCAATATTTATTATCGAGTAAGACAAAAAATAAAAACCATAGTTATTCAAAATGTTGAACAAATTTACAAATATTTGATACAATTTAAGAAAACACTATCCTCTATTAAAAGCGTTATTGTAACAATAAACAATGTGGTTTCTGGTTGTCTTTAATCGTGTTCACGTATTATCTACAGTAAAGTGGGGTTACAACCAGTAGTCCCGCTTACGACTGTTCAATTTTTATCTTGTGAATTATTTTATATTTATCTAATAATTTTTACCTATCTTTTGTCAAACAAATCAGGCTGACCAACTTAACAAAATGTGTAAAAACTAAAATTAAATATTAATTATTTTTCGTAATTAAAAATGTATTTTTGTTCGAGAACGAAAAATATTTTTCTGGTTAACTATTTCGTTTTCGTTCTATAAAATTAGTAATTGTGGTTCCATTTTTGTTTTCGTTTATACACATTTTTCAATAAAACCGGTTAATAAAAAAAACGGTTTTAACCGATTTGAAGCCCTGCTAGAATCTATTTTTAAGTAGCCTGGCGATATCAAATATATTTATACATTTATGCCCTCTTATCTGTTTTATTTATTTTTATTGTATTATTGTTCTACATTCAAACTTTCACAAAGTTATCCAAAATTTTCATAACCACTACACATACTTATTTGCACAAAAATCACAGTTACCAAATAATGTGAACTAAACAACTGAAGATCTATGAATAACACTTTCTTTGAATTGTCAAAGCATCACGTACTTTCTTAACGGGACGTAATAGACAATATTGAATTTAATATATATGTAATAGAAGTCATTCTCGCTGATTACAAGTCATAAACAATCCAAGTACAAAATATCATTTAAAGAAAAGGAATTCCCTAATTCGTCACAGAATAAGTGATGAAAAATTTAGTGCTCTTTTCATTCGGTCCGAATTTATAGTTGCGTTAAAAATATGAAATGGTTCAAATATTTACAAAATATATTTTATTATTTACTGTGAAATTTTGCCGCCCCCTAAAAAGTGTCGCTCGGGGCGGCCCGCCTCCTCCCCCCCCAATCACTATGCCACTGCGTTGTCGAGTACCTTAAATTTTGGATATTAATCAGCGTCAGTGATTATTTATAAATAATTTGAATATGTTGATGACAAAGTCACCAAGATATCATTTTTGTTTATCATATCACACGTACGTGTTAAATAATATATAAATATATACGTACATCTTATCGTAGTAATATTTTCCATTAACTACCAATATAATAATAACGTACCAATAATTTATTGCTCGCTCATTGTCGAATATACCCTCGTACATTCAAAAATAAAATAAAAAACAACAAATTTTTCACGTAAATACGTTATGTAGACTGACGTAACGTGAAAGTGTAATAATAAAATATTGTTCCGATCCGTTTAATTTCAGAAACATTCTACGTCCAAAGTTTATTGTCGTACATCCAGGGCAATAAATATATAGGCGCCATACATAATTTTATAACGCACTGCCGCAAAGAAAACATGATTAGTAATCATACGAGGTTATATATATTATATATTTCCCCTCCTGTCTAATGTATACGAGAGGAGATAGTTGACAGATTCTACGACCCGACTCGCCGCGTTAGTTAGAACATGATTTGTTGTGCGACCGAAAATTTCCCGCAGGGAAAAAACAATTTACCGATTAAGCTCAAAACTTGCACAAGCGATGGCGACCACTCGCTAACCCGTTGATCGCGGTCGTTATATAAATAATATAAGAGAAAATCTAAAATAATCCTGTTAGGTCTTGGAAATATAATAAGTGTGTGTGTGGATTGGTCAAGTGTTCGTACGCTTTATGTGTGTAATGAGTTTCTTCGATTTTACATTATTACGTTAGATTATTTGGCTTTCGTAAACGGGGTTGGAAAAGTTTTCACGAGGTCACAGGGGTAGAACTGGAAACAAGGAAAATTTCGGTTGCAACTGCTACTGTATCTTCTTCCGGACGTCTTGCCACTGAGCTTATTATTATTCCATCATCACCACCTCCACCGACCGACCATTCACGTAATCGTAATCAAACATACGCCAAACACTGCAATATCCTGTTTAGATAACACGCGTAAAACTATAGCCGCCCAGAAATATTTATCATTGTCACGAGTCCAGTAAAGTTTCCACCGCCGCGTTTTGTATAATATATGCATAATGAAAATAAGAAAATCTGTTGATTCAGACAAGACGTTTTTACGTGTTAGGGAAGTTTGAGATATGTATGATGTTACGCAGTGAGTGTTTTTTTTTTTTCTAGCAAGCGATCAACTCGACCAAAGCATTTAATCGTGTTTATTCATTTTGTTTTTTAATATATTTTAATAGTGTACGCGACTTGTAGTTATTTATTTTACTTTTATTTACAGAAGTCGTCACCGCCGGAGGAGAATGTACCGAGAACGCCACTACTTCTGCGATTTGTAACAATTCACCAGTGACCAAAAGACGCGTTTTCAGTGGGTACGTACGATTTTTCACCGTTTATATTTTGCATATACGTATTGTACATAATTTTCTTATCCGTTATTTATCTTTTATATTATTCCTCAATAAAACGCGTTGACCATCGCACATGGTATCGATGACTAAGTACATTAGTTGACGTGGTGTATATAGTCTCGCGTACAAATTATTTGAACTGATGAAATTCATTTTCTACTTGGTCCGCTCTTCTGATTATAAGTTATTACAATTTATCCGTCTGTATGATAAAATATTAACTAAAAACAATTATTTTCAATTATATAGTTCAATTCAAGTATTTTTAAATACTTGTTATACATATTTAATTTGTTTAACGTTTTCTATCGATTTATACGTGTATATTTTCTATGATTTTTTTTTCCTAGAACATTTTGTGATGATTGTGTTTTAATTTGTTGATTTTCACTAAAATTACTAGTTAATATTAAAATTTAATAAATGTTATTTTTATTCAACATATTGGAATGCCCTACAATATTTCAAAATATTGAATGTTTATATCTTATTATAAACTTTTATTTTATTTATATTTTTTAGGTAAACAGTGGAATCAATAGTTAATTTTTAGTAGGGAATACCTAATAAGTTTATAGATGTTTCATATAAATTTTTTTTTATTCATTACTTTTCATTAACTTATTTATCGAATCAGACAGTTAATATATTGCATTCTAACTCATCTAGTTGAAGTTTACATATAGCTGATTATTAATTTATTGTATTATTATAAATTTGTAATTTAGTTTTATAAATTCGTTATTACATTAGTAAACATTTATATATACAGTCCATCTTTGGATTATTTTTGTTAACACGATATAATCGATGTTCAATGTTTTTCATTAAAAAAAAGTAAGTGAAGGACGATTTTCTCATTGTTTTATTGCTTACGTATAATTTAAATCACTTTTATGTTCATTATTCGTTCAATATGGTATAGATCGTACTTATATAAATAATAATAATAGTATTATGCATTTTAAAATCAACACACATTTCATCCCCCTAAAAATGTAAAAATGTCATGTGACTTTCTCTTTCTACATGAACATTTAGCGTTGTTGATTAATATAATAATATGTTGCGTACTTGCGTGTGTTATACCTACATTTGTATGATGTACATACGCGCACGTAGTAATGCGATATTTTGATTACGTGATGATTTGTCGCTGCGGCGCTACGCTATTTGTCTGTTCGGTTTCCTTATTGGGCGAGTGGAGATTTTCTAACCTCCGGGCGATTGCCACAACATACGTTTACCGTGTGTGACCAAATGTGGTGATATAATGTAGTATCTTGCCGTGATCTCTGTTTTGGTCGAATACCGCATTTTTATCGTTGTTGTCTATATCCATATGATAATATTCATTACATGCGCCATTTTATTTGTAGAAGAATGTGGATTCCGCCGCCGTTAAGAAAATTCAGCACCGGTAACAAAGTCGACAAGAACCACGTGCAGTCTACCAAAAAGTCGGATAAAAAATACAAGGTAAAGTAATTATGACACTTTATTTACTATACTTTCCATTAACGTATTGAAGTGTATATTTATCTGGGCGTGTGTCTATTTTTTTTTTCAATAGTCGCCTGTCAGTGAAGTCACCAAACCGATACCGAATGAAGACGAACAGAATGGCGAAGAACCGGATGATGAACTCGAATTGCCACCACCCATGAAACCTATATCCGAGTCAATTCTGGTGAACGCCTCGGATGCGACGAGCGTTGCCTCGCAAAGAGTGAGTATACAGTTTAACGGATATATATAAAGTAGTATATAGTAATAAGTGTTAATGATATTAATGTAAAAAAAGCGTATTTTATGCAATTGGAAAATATTACAATTAATTTGTGAATCATTGTATATTATTTAACTAAATCAAAATTACATATGTTTATTATTGTTGTATTGTCCAGACGTCGGGACTGTCGGCGGAAGTAACCGCCTCGTCTTCGGCCGATTTGGCTGAGATTGAACAGATCGTCAAAGAAAGAATGGTGAATTTTGAGAGTGAAAAAAGTGTTGTAGATTCTAGATATATAGTCGAAAAACAGATGTATTTCGTACTTACGTAGTTTTTAACGTGTGCATAACAGCTAAAACTGAGCGTTACAGATATTAAAAACTTATTTTTTTATTAATTAATCTTACTAATTAATTATGAACTCTGGTAAAATAATTGAGAAAATATATTTTTATTTTTCACTATTTCAACTAAATGAAGATCATTAATCATCTGTTTTCCTTATTTTAATTTAACATTAATGTATTAATATGTTATTTCTTTAAGACTTTGTTTTTTAGAATGTTTATTATGATGCATTATATTCAGATGTTTCATATAATTATTCGTATTTTATTATAACGAATTAAAAAATGATTTAAATGAAATTCATTAATGTCCAACGTTGGATGTATTATTACCCAATAACTTATTAAAAAATATATGTGTACATCGCTCAGCTTTTTAATATTCGCAGTAGTATAGGATGTGCATGTTTTTTCTTTTTTACCATATTTGATGTTGAATTTTTAATCTGTTTAATTGTTTATAGGAACAGCACACCACCACAGCTTCTATTTCATCCACCGACAAAACGAGCGATGAATCGAGACTGAAGAATGATGAAAACGAATGCAAAAAAGCGCTTCATAAACGGGAGTACGTGATGCGTGAGCTAGTCGAGACCGAAAGGGATTACGTTCGGGACTTATCTTTAGTAGTTGAAGGGTACATGACGGTGATGAAAGATCCTGAGGCTGCAGGCTGTGACATCCCTGTCCCCGAGGACTTAAAATCCGGAAAGGACAAAATTATCTTTGGCAATATCGAACTTATTTACGTATGGCATAGAGAGTAAGTGTTATATTGCAGTACAAATATGCTTAACATCATATTAATGTACCTATTTTATGATATGTTAAAAACGATTAAAAAAGTTTTGACGAATTTAAATTTTAATCGATTATAATTTTTTTTTTCGTAGTGTGTTCTTGTCAGCTGTTGAACGATGCCTCACCCAGCCACACGAGCTCGGCAAGTTATTCAAAAAATACGAGCGAAAACTTTTGATGTACGTCGTTTATTGTCAGAACAAGCCCATTTCCGAATATCTTGTGTCTGAATACGATTACTATTTTGAGGTAAAATTTTTCCAAAGGAATAAATATTATCGTAAAAAACAAATTTTCTAGTAAAACATTGAATATCATTTTTTCTAAATGAACAATTTAATTAAAAATAATTTGAATGTTATTTTTGTAGATAATTAAAAAAAGAAAAATGTATTCATTTTTCCCACTGAATACAATTTATAATAGTTCAATTAAATAATATTTAATCATTAAATCTATTATATTCATATCATTTTTGTTGGATCATCAATTGACTTATCTCAAGTGAAATGTTATTTTAATTTTAAATTTTTTTTTCTGTTTTTTTTAGTTTTTGTATATTTTATCTTTGCTTAGTAAAAAACTTTATTGTACAGTATTGTTATTATTATCCTGTACAGTGTATAATTTTAATAATTATTATATTTGATGTACATATTAATAAATGTTTTTGTTCTCATTGTATTTAGGAAATGCGACAGTTCCTAGATCATAAGCTGCAACTATGCGATATATTAATCAAGCCCGTACAAAGGATTATGAAATATAAGCTACTATTACAGGATATATTTAACTACACAGAGCGAGCAAAGTTAGTTGACGAAATGGAAGCGCTGCAACAGGCCATGCATGTTATGCATGTGGTGCCTAAAGCAGCCAATGATATGATGGACGTTGGTCGTTTGCAAGGTTTTGATGTGAGTATTACTATTGTTATACTATTAATTATAAAACTATGAAATCTTATGTCCTATATATAATTGACCATATTTTTATGTCGTTTTAGGGCAAAATAACTGCTCAGGGCAAACTATTATTGCATGGTATGTTAACATGTGCTGAGAGGCCTTGTAGCAATCCTAATCGGATGCCCCACAGAGACCTGCATGTTTTTCTGTTTGAACAAAGTATAATATTCAGTGAAGAAGTAGGCAAGAAAACGCAGTTTACTAGTCCAGTTTATGTTTACAAAGCACACATCCAGGTATGCAATTGTTTTCAGGCGTTTGAGTATTCATACAACTTTATATATAGTACTTTAGCTTTGTACAGTCTTATATGATGGTGATTAATTGCCCTTTTCACATTAAATATGATAGGTGAATAAAATGACTTTGGAAGAGAGGCATGGCTCATCAAGCAGCAACTCTTCTGATGACTCGTCCGATGGATCATTTATTATCAAATCTACTGACCCCAAAAGACCTCCATTATGGTTTGTGTGCCATGCGCACAGTGCTGAATCACGAACTGAATGGCTGCAAAACCTCCGACAAATCCTCCAGACTCAGCGAGACTTTCTAAAAGCTATACAGTCGCCCATAGTATATCAAAAAGAGTTGACTAAGGAGGCTAGTTAGTTATAAGTGCATTATAAAATTACCATTCTTTAAATTGCTGTGGTAATAGTTTAGTATGATTGTGTCATGAAATCGGCACATAACAATTTATTAAGTCTGAACACTCTCTCAAGCAGATTGAATATTATTATTATTATTATTATTATTATTATTATTATTATCAAGATGACATTCCTATTTTACATTATCTTTTAAATTTATCTAAGTAGTTTTAACATAATCGAAGAAATATATCACTTTATTTTTTCGTTTAAGACAACATCGAATAAATATAATTATTATTATATAAGATTGACTTTTAACTTTAGAGTTTTCTAGAAAATATATTTATATATTTTTATTTTTTATTTTGGTGAAAACGTCCATTAAAAAAAAAAAAAAACTGTTGACAATATTTATGTGCATGTGTATCAAACATCTTCAGTTTTTTTTTTTTTTTTTTTTTTATGGGTCTAGTCAAATTTTTATGTAGGCTAATTTCTATTATATAACTTTTATTTTACTGTAATTATTAATTATTATTTATAAATCCTATGCAGTTTCATAAGATTATTAATCGTAACATAATTATGTATTTAATAATTTAGACAGTAATATTGTACAAAACAAAATTATCCATCGTCTAATTATGTTAGTTAGAAATTAACTAGTGAATTTATAATATCCAATAGCGATGGTCCAATATTTATTATTATCAATGATGCCTTATATTGAGAGTCTATTGTAATTGTATCAAAATTGAATATGACTTGTATTGTTTTTGTCAGTAGACGGATATCAAGCCGTTAATATTATGTATATATATATATATATATATATGATAAATATGAACAAGAGAGTGAATGAGTATTTGGTGGCTTCAATGTCATCTAACTCAAATAAAAACTAAGGTTGTGTATGTTTATTTTTGTGAATAACTTTTTTATTATTATTTCATTTATATATATATATATATATGATTATATAAATATATATATTATAATTATTATTTTAATTGCCAAAATTTAATGCACAAACTGTTGATTGTAAGTTCTAATGACATTACGTTTGTACATAACATTGAATAACAATAATAAAAGAAAATTGTTGTTTTTTTAAATCTTTTTTTTTTTTTTTTTTGTTACCAATCATTATTTATTACATTATAAATATTGTAATGTTATTACCCTATGAAATAGTATCACATAAAACAGTGGTGGCCAACCCATGGCCCATATTCAATGTGGCCCTTTACAATTTTTTAAAAATGTATTTATTTGATTTTCCAACATTTTAGATTTACATTTTAGATTAGACATTAGAAATTTCACGATATAACCCATTCACTTAAAAGAGCTTACTGATTGAATTAATGGGTATCTACAACATGTACCTCAATCTGTAATCTTTTCAGTATTCAATAAAATATTTGAAAACAAATTCAATATTTACCTACATGTAAATTGTATATGTACTACGTGTAACAAAATAAAATTATATTATTAGATTAATATTGATATTCGTACTGTTATATTTTGTGGCCCACTCTAAGATAATTGTTTACCAAAGTGGCCTACTGAGGAAAAAAGGTTGGACATCACTGACATAAAATATACAGTTCGTTGATCAACAAGTTTATATCTGAACAAAACTTACAAAATCAAAAATGTTATGTTTGCATAACATTAGCATCACATATGTGCTCTAAAAGCAGACCTATTTGTGGTCTCCATCTATTAGACATGAATTAAATCTTATGTCCAGTTTTCAGTTATTCCTTTTGTATTGCTTTTAGTAGTTCAGATTTTGGAAATTATCTATTCAACAAATATATGTTTTACTGATATCAAGATTCTATTTTATTTCAAAATTTCAGAATTTTTATAACACGTAAGAATTTTGTACATAACTTCTTGAAAATATAAAAAAGAAATTTAGTTTGATGAATTTATTTTGTTTGTGCTTAATTATTGTATTATGCATCTGTCCAAGTAATGTCATGTGTAACGTGTGTGTACAATTAGTTGAGAACGATGAGATGCCAAAATTATATTCTGAAATTTTTTAATTTTAATGATACTAACAAAAGATTTGGATAATCTTGCTTTAAAATTCATGTAGGATGTTATGTATGTTATGATAATTTTAGAATATACGAGAAACACTTTTTGATTTGAAACTATTGTTAAAACAATAATAAGATCAACAAGAAAGAGACTTACTAGAATAGAAAGAACAACTCTGAGGTTTTGAGAAAAGTAAATTAGTTAACACTTTATTGCAATACCTTATGTTTTAAATCAAATAACACAAATTAACACGATCGATTACGAGTTTTGCCAGTTCGCCGTTCGGTGGTTCGGTGACTATCACTTAAGTGACTCTTGTTGGTTTATGCTAGTCGTCCAGTCAATGCTAATCGACCAGTATTACCAACATTACAATTTAATAAAATTAATAAGTTAACACTATTAATGAAATATTTATATAAAACTGGGCAAATGTTATATATACCATACTACATGGTCCGTAGTAAGACAATGGAATGTTTTATTAGTTAATTTAAATTGGATTTTTTACATTTTATAGGCTTTGAGCACTAAAAAATTAATGCCCATTATACTAAAATGTTATGTTTTCAGAGATAAGAATAAATTGTTATTAAAATATTAACATTAATATGTTTTGAACCCGCTGCCACACATATGCCATTTCTATTCTTTTTACACGAAAAAAAAAACTGCAACACAATAGCGTTTTAATAATAGTACGATTACGCCTTTTTTTAAATGAAATGCAAAATGATTGCGCTCTATGAATTATAGGTGTTGTTCTTTGAACAATTTTCAAATAATTTGATTATATTGATTATGTTTCGAATTAAAAACTACGATTCACATTTTTGCCATATTTATTTTTATTTTTCCTATTATAAAATAACTCAGTTATAATTCTAATATTTGCAAATAAAAACTAAGAACTATAACTTTGTGACATGAAATCGATGAATCCCATTACTTTAAAATATTTTTTTATTGATGTTTCGTTTTGTTCCAATTCGGTCCACGTTTACAATATAATAAATTTTGATTTGTCTCTTTTTTTTCTTTTCGAGTTTTGTTCGTATGTTTTGATTAAAAAAAAAAAAGTATTTAATTTTTAAATAAGTTTTACTTTTGATGTATAGAAATACGATAAGAATTTCACGAGTAGAATTATAGGAGTGGAAATACAGCGTATAGGACCGAGTTATTGTGTCGGTGGAACGATTCTGGTCCGTCGGTCGTCGAAGAAGACACATAAAATCGGCGAGGAAACCGTATTTCTGTTAGTATATACACAGTCGGAATAACGAAGTCATCGGAAGTGTCTGAGCTAAGCGCGAACGGGCATCGCCGAATACATTTTTTGGTAAAAAACCGAGGGCGAAAAAATATTTTAAACGGGAGCCCACCTATATCCGACTTCAAATCGTATTCTTTTAATAAGTTGCTATGGCTGCGCTATGGTTCTGCTCTTCGGAAAAAAACTTTTGTAACACCCGTTATGGGCACTGGTTTTAAAAGCGCAACGGAAAATAGAACTAGTTGATGTGATGTTAACAAACGAAGGGACACGTCTCGTTAAAACATAATTTTGATATCGATAAATCGAACAATAAAATATCACGATTATTCGAGTAGGTACACGAGTAGTTCTGTTAAAATCTCGGTTATTACATCGTGGCTTATAGGACATTAAAATCATGTACGTTCCCGTTTGTTCACGTATTGAGAAAACACATTTATTAATAATATATATATATATGTATAAAATATGAAAAACGTTTGTTACACGTATTGTATTGATATTTTTAAACTGTGAATTTGAAAATTGTCGGAAGGACACTAACGACTGCTCCAGCGCAACTGTGTTGCGATTTTACGATTTGAAACGAGCGCGATCGTGTTATGGTTTTTGTTTAGGGGAGGCTGGAGGAAATTTATCGGGCTTCTAAAACCATATCGTCTCACAAACAAGCTTGTGCATCCTTCTCTGTTTTTTTTTTTTTTTACATGTAATAAGGGATAAATCAAGCGTAATCGTGTTACCGCCGAAACACGTGCGCCTCTTATCGTGGTGCTATTTAAATGATAATTGTACAAACATTGTTTGCGATCATTTAAAACTTAATCATCGATAAAAGTAATACGAATCGGAGTCTCAATAGTTTAACAACTACTATCATCACTATGGATGTTAAACAATTAATTCTTTGACAGACGAACAGGTCAGATGTGTACTCGTTGTCAAGAAAACGTAAATTAGTCCGGTGCGTGCATCGCTATTCGAAAAACGTTTCGTCGTCATTCAGCGGTTAATACCATCTGCCATTTCGTATTTTGCGACCGCTGTGTGTTGTGTATAGCCAACGAAAACATAACATCAAATATAATAGACGTGTGAACGGTTGGCTAACGATTAAAAATCACTTAATCGTTGGTTTTTATTTTGTTTTATCACGTAGGAATGACTAACTGAACGTTTGAAAAAATGACGAAAAATACGTAGGTTTTTGTACAAACTAATAAATATTAATTGTATTATAACATTTTTATATTAACTATCTATTGTATATTTAAGTTATTATATTTTATAGTAAAATAAACGTGAATTATAATAATTAATATTATTGTCCACGTATTTTCAAGCGCTACCTGATCTGTTGCGATCCGTTTGACTGCCAGTCGCATGTACCGTCCGTCGTTTGGATCGCGTTGGTTATCGAATCGCGTCGTTAGTAGACACGCCCTCCCCTGTCCATTTTTTTAGGAAACCGCGAAGCAATGAAAACGCTTGTCAATCGCATTGTGCGCGGAGGCCCTTAAACGTTACATAATTATATTATATAAATGCGACGATTGCGTTCATACACAGATAACTAGGTACCAGTATTTACTAGTGCAGTAAAATGCTACGAGCTTTGGCGGTTTCATCATTCTGTGCTGTGACATTATCGTTTAGACCGAATATTATTACAACACAATACTAGTGTGTTCAATCGAAACATCGCGTTCGATCAATACAATTTCTCCGTTAACACAATAACATGTACTATCAGGTATATTAAGACTGCATTACACCGTCGAATATCACGTTTTAAAAATTACTGTACGGCGTTCAATACACGTTTCATATTTTCAATTACAGATCTTAACCGTAATGCTGTTAGCACTCGGCAATCATGTACAACCTACCGACGGTGCTAACATTTTGGCTTTTTTCCCGTTGCCGATCTACAGCCATTTTTCCGGATTCAATCCATTGTTTTTAGAATTGGCGGACCGGGGACACCGTGTAACCGTCGTCAGCCCTTTTCAACCGAAAGGGACCGTACCGTCGACTTACAAACACGTATCTATTACGAACGGTACGTTTCAATATCGATTATTACATTTAATGTCTATTATAGAACATAGTTGTTATTGGTGATGAATTATGCGTTTTTTCAAATTCTGATTTTTGAAAAATATGTGTGTACTAACACACTACGCTTTTCGATACTTAGTTTCATTTTACCCCTTAGAGTGATCCTGTGACAATTGTATTAACTTTTGATTTACCAACAGGAACACCATGTCAACATTCAGGAACGGATCTAAGGGGGGGGGGGTGGGGGCACAGCCCCCCGACATATTATTTCTCAAATTTTTTTATAATTCTACACATCGTGATATTACTATTTTTCAAATCACATATAATATATATCTGATAATAAAAGAATATAACTAATATATAATATATCAAACAAGGTGGATGAATATACAATACACACCGCGAATTAAAATATTTTAATTCGTGTTACACATAACAGTATTACAGAATTACATACTTTGATTTGTAAGTATCACAGAATAGTATCATTCTATATGGCACTAACACATGGTGGAAACTGATAAGTGATTCCAATATTATATATATATTACGTGTTAATTGATAATATCACAAGAGTGCGCCACGTTACCACCAAAGTTAGTCCCAGACAATTAAAATATAATATTGTGGTTGAACTGTTTTGGTTCTATAATTAGAACATAGACATAATAAAATAATTCCAACAATATTAATATGTTATTGATAGTATGATTAGAACTGCGTTATAGCGATAACCATATTTTGTTCATAGGAAAGTTAAAATAAACATTGACGAAATAATTGATAGATTTGGAAAAAACGACAATGTAAAAAGACGTTTAGATTTTATAATTTAATATATAACATTTATAAATTAAATAATCATTAATTTATTTATTACATTGATTACCTATGTCCTATACCTACTATTATGACAAAATTTTTAAATTATGAATAAAATACCAATAAAAAAATTGTAGAGGCCCCCCCCCCAGATCTTTACTCTGGATCCGTGCCTATCAACATCTAGACCCGTATTTTCGAAACTATTCAAATTTTAAATTGCGTATAAAGGGTGTAAAATAATTTTGAGGTATTGAAATTTTTTTTTTCATTATAGATTCAAGATTATGTAATTTGTTTAATAGATATATATAAAAAAAAATAAGGCGTAACTTGTTGCGAATGTTCAGTGAATATTTAGATAAATATTATATATAGATTAAATTAATTACGTTCAATGCCGGTCAAAGGTGAATTTTTACGTATTCTCATATTGATTATATCTTTGTGTAATTTTAAATTTGTACAACATTGAAAGTATTGATCCAAATGTTGGATATGTCACACCATAAATTCATAAAAAGTTAACCGATTAATCATTTGCGAAAATAAATAAAAAATAACTGGTATATATGTTTGAAAAACAAGAGTTTATGCATTTACCAAAGAATACTTTAAGTACTTAAGAGATACAAAAAAAAACTATGAACTGAAAAATATTGATTTTTGCAACATAACATTTTCCGAAAATCAAAATTTGAAAAAATAAATAATTTTAGCGTATAAAACCGTTGACATACTCTAAGATCACTCAGGGCCGGCTTTAGATACGATCAACGTGTGCGACGGCACAGAGCGCTAAAATTAAAAAGGCGCATGAGAGGCGTTAAGATTAGAAATTAATTTGATGAAACGTTAGTGACGCAAATTATCTACTATAGATAGAAATAATAATAATTTTATCAACGTGACTTAATATAAATTCATTTTATCATTATTATTAATTTATATTTTATATATTATTACATCAACATGTAAGTAGTGGTTAATATTCTCTTTACAATCTACAAATATGAACAAGTATGGTAATTTCAAAAATTATTTTAGTATTTTTGATTACGAATAGATTTTTCTAGCTCCGTGAATTTTGTCTGTTCAAGTTAAATGTTCAGGTCGTTTAAGAGGGAGGGGTAACAAAATAATTCTTGCACTAGGCGCTGAAAGAGCTAAAATCGGCCCACGGAACACATGTTGTGTGTTGAAAATGTTTGTTTTATACAAAAATGTATTGCTTCGCTTAAAATATGTTTCCGTCATAATATTTATATTGTAATTCTCGTTTTTCGGTATAGTGAGAATTCCTAGGCGTACCAATCTGTTAGACATTCCAAAATCGTATCGAATAACGAACATGATCAACGTCAGAAAGACTATGATGGAGATGGTCAGGCGGACATTGGTACTGAAAGATACGCAAGCATTCCTGAATGATACGCGTAACGCTTTTGATCTGGTGTTGAGCGAATGCTGGTACAGCGACGCATTTCTCGCGGTCGGTCACAGGTAATGACAACAGGCTACAGGCTGCCCGCCCATAGTGGGTGATGCTACGCACGATTCTATAAGGCTCCGACCTGTCGGTATTCCCATCAGATTCGAGATTCCAGTGGAAACGAAGTTTTAAATAATAATTAAAAAAAATCAAAACTGACAAACAAACAAAAACATTACATCGTTTTCTCATGGCTGCAGGTATTCCGCACCGGTCATGTGCCTGAGTCCGATGATGCCATCGGCCACCTTATGCGCGGCCCTGGGCTCGCCGAACAACCCGTCGTTCGTGCCGTCATTCTGGCTGCACTACTCGGACGCGATGCGTTTCTCAGAACGGCTGTTCAACGCGGTCATCACGGCCGCAGAGATGCTGCTGTCCGGCGTCGTATACCGAGACGTGGATCAGGAGATGGCGGACGCCTTATTCACGTATCCCGGCCACGAGCACCGGCCGCCGATGGACGAACTGCGTGGAGCTGTGGCCGTCACGCTGATCAACAGCCATCACTCCGTGTCGTACCCCAGACCGTATCCACCGGGGTTCGTGTCCGTGGCCGGTATGCACATGCGGCCGAAAAAGGAATCGGCTGTCAAAGTTGAACCGGTGAGTGATAACAGGTGACCGTGTCCGTACGTCAACGTTGCGTGCCCGGCCATGAAACGTTTCGTGCGCTATTCATCGCCAGGGTCGATCTGGGCGCCCAAGGGCCCAGGTGAGAATTTTTACATGGGACCAAGCGACATTTCGAAAAAAACAAAACGAAGACAATATACGACATAAAAACGTGTTTATTTGATATCTGTAGAAACGTACACGAAATACGTATTTACATTAATCATTGTGTACATGCATTGAGAATTTACGTTATTTTTCTTATAATATCAAGTTATGTTAACGGTAACAAGTAACAACGTTTATGCATATTACTGTGGTGACCATGTTAGTTGGGTAGATTAATTTTAAATATCGCCAATTATATAGTTATTATATAGTTATATAGTTATTACCCTTGTTGGCTATATCTGTTTCTATTGAAATCGACATGAAAGGTACGAGAATATTTCGAGAGATACTTAATCTGGGTCAATTTATAGTAATTTCTTTTTATTATTGTAATTTCTTAACTCTCTCACAAAATTCTTGGATTGATGACGATAGTGTGATAACATATATAATATTGTAACAATAAAAAGTAAAATAATATTGGCATATGTAAAAGGATATACTAATTTTTATTATCATATGAGCGTTACCTAAAAATAATAGGTTATACAATACGATATACCGGTTATTTCAGAATCTGGCAATTCTAAATTAAAATTTAAGCAGTCCTCTATGGTGATATAGTGATATGAATTTATATTTTACTTTTTTTCATTACTGAACAGGGACCACGAAAAATATAATCCAACTAGGGTCCAGACAGGAATCCCTTCCCCTCTGCTGTGGCCAGCCAATCTTGGTGTGAATGCTAACACTGTGTCTATGATATCACGGTGAGAAAATCTCGAAAAGTTAACTTTTTTAACCGCAGCGCTAACCCTTGTGCCAATAGGTCTTTCGGTTTACACCCAGTCCCCACTCGACGTTCAAGCGAAAATGTTGCTCTACAAATAGCTTCATTTTTACTTCGTTTACGGCAAATCTGATAATACATTTTTAAAATACTGAAAAATCCCTTCCGTGTGTGTAGCGCATTACTTTTTAAAATAATGTTTTAAATACGAAATTATCTGAAAAATCTAATACGTTTTATTTGGAACGAAAGTTAATTATATTTATACGTAGTCCGGCGGTGGTATATATTTATGGCTCTCGAGTACAAATATCATAAGTAAATAACAAATTATTGGAAATTTACTATCGTCAGTACGGGAAGAACCCTAAAAAAAATTTTTCTAACAAAGGCTTGCCTTTTTGTATTTTTTTTACCCCACCAAACGATTTTATTGTATTTTTGTCTTTTAGGAATTCAAAATGCTTCTTGACAGCGCCATCGATGGAATTATTTATTTTAGCTTCGGGTCGAACATCAAAATGTCGGATCTACCGGAGCACTACGTTAGAATGTTTGTCGAATCGTTTAGAAAACTTCCGCAAAAAGTGTTGTGGAAATGGGAAAACGGTTCTATCGACAATGCGCCTGATAACGTGTACGTAGCAAGTTGGTTCCCGCAACAGTACATCCTAAGTATAAATAATGAAAAACCAAAATTTTACTACATGTTGATATTGTAATTTTCACTTGTAGGTCACGAGAATTGTAAACTATTCATCACACATGGTGGCTATCACAGTCTTGTGGAAGCATTACACGCCGGTGTGCCGTTAATCGGATTTCCGTTCTTTACCGATCAGTATTACAATATGAGATTTGTGGTGGAAAACGGTTTCGGGATCGAGATCATGCTGAATGATCTACGGGAAAACGTACTTGACGATGCGATTGGAAGCATTATGTTCGATTCAAGGTAAGCCTAACAATCCGAAAATCGAATCGAAATTATTTCGTAACACGTGTTCTATTCGTTTTTAGTTACAAGGAACACGCCCGGAGAGCTTCGGAGATCTTTTTGGATTTGCCCTCTTCCGCACTAGACACCGCAGTTTATTGGGTTGAATATGTAATTCGAAACGGCCCTGATTTCAAATTATCATTACAGTCTCACCGTTTAAATTGGTATCAATATTTTCTACTCGACGTTATAGTTTCGATCATTGTTATTTTAGTGTCAACTGCGTTTTTCTTTTACGCATTAATCAAATTTATTTGTAAAAGATATTTTAACAGTAGTTTCAAAATTGAGAAATTGAACTGAATAAACCAATTTAAAAATACATTGTAAATCGCTATTTAAGTTATATTTTATTTAATTCTCTGGGAAGAATACCCACTAGGAAAATGTTGGTATTCGGAAATAACAATTCAACCAATTTATATACAAATTATATAAATTATGAAATAATCGTTGTTTTCCTGAGAATGCTTCTATATACTTCAACAAGTAACTGTTCAACAGAAAGATTATTTTCTACTCTATAATGCGTCAAAACTTATTTAAGATTTTAAGATCATTGAAAGTTATTGGCACTCCTCAAGATCGAAGGTGATTTAACAAAAACCATTAATTTTAATGACATTATTGAATTTTTTGCTTTTAAAAAGTCAAGAAAAAAATTATAAGTCAACGATTATTTTATTATATATTTATAATTAAATAGTTAATACACTAGTACGTATTTGATCTAATAAAAACTATTTATTTTTGATGTAATTACGTAAATAATTGTGAATATAATAAGAATAAAATATTGTCTAAAGCGTTGATTGTATTTTTCTTAATACATTATTACTCTTAACATGTTTTTTTAATAAGAAAGGAAAATTCTATTTGAAAGAAGAAGGAAAAAAATATAGTTTTTTTGGGTTATATAGATTTATATTTTATATATATTTAAAACAATATTGTGAAACAGTGCAACTAATTTTTTTCTTTTTAGGGGGTTGCGGACAAATTATTTTGTCTCGGAGAGCGTATTTGTTAAACACGCCACTGGAGTAGGCACTATGTTTTATTGTATTTTATGGTTCTACGAGCGACTTGGAGGCCCCACGTGTATTGCACGTAGTGCGGTTGCTGCTTCGGCATGTACTTTCGCGTGGCTATGGGGTTGCCGAATTCAATTTGTTCGCGTTATCCTTCGACCTATTGTTGCCGTCTATTAATAACATTTTCTATTACATTACCGTTGTCATCACGGCAGGTACTGTCTGCGCGTTTACATTAATATAGTTTTGGAAAACGTTTGGCGCGTGCTCGGCGAACCCGGTCGGCGGTAATCGGATAAACGCAAAACGCTGCGACGGTTGTCGTGACGAGGTCCCGTTAGCCACAACATCTGCACGACCTATTATGATAGGACAATGATTATTCCAATGTTTAATCGTTACGTTGTCGCAGTCGTACACGTTCACCAAATCATATTGTTTTTTTGCTCGCAAGAAAAGACACAGTCGTAGAGAACCTGGCTATTAATCATACACGGAAATACATTTGACAGTGGTCAAAGCGTAGACAGTGGCAAAGTCTAAAATTTTTGTTACAAATAAGTGGCGAAATTCGAAAGACACAGGTTTGGATTCGTTCGGGAAAAGCCGAGAGGCCAACTTCACCCGTGTGCCTATGCGGATGGTATTATATTTTTCGGCCTATGCCCAAAGTAGTTGGTGGAGAGGAAGACGTTTGGGACGAGAGTTGCGACTGTCGCAAATCTACGGAAACGTATTATGATACAGACGTCGCTCGGGACGTGATAAACTTATCAGAATACAATGACTGCACGAATGTTATTACTGTTTTAGTTGCTAGATAGTTGACCTTTAGGCGTATGTATGCGTATACCAAAAAGTTTATAATACAATGAATATTGCATAAACGAATGTATAGGCATAATATTCCCGATTACGATCGCCGCTAGAGAAGATATTGGAGGGCTTAATTTGTGAGTTTTAGACCTATATAACGTGTACAAGAAATGAAAAATGATATTGTTATTGATTTTTTTAACTACCTTTGCACTTTTTCCGCCGTGTAAACGTCTTTGCAGATGTTCATTGTTTCAGTCATAGGGTAGGTCTTCTCGGTTGTTTTTTTTTTGTTATGCATACATAAGTTGTCCGATTGGTATTGTTATTTTTCAATGCAGCGGGCAGCGGGCGTTCCGTGCAACAGTATCGGAAACTTGCATCACGGAATGGTTTTATCGGAATGAAATAGTCGAACGTCTTTTGGCGATGACGAGACGTGTTACCGTTGATCAAAACGTACGTTTATCGACTGCACCGGGGGTGATCGAATAGGTTTCGCATCGAGGCCGCGCTAGGTACCTACACAAATCGTAAATAATTGTCCTAGATATGCGAGTTACGTATGACGTGCGTAAGTACGATTGTTATGTAGAGTCTCCGTAGTTGCTTTATGCTGAGAGAGGTGAAGGTAGGGGGGTCGCGGGTAGAGTAGGCGAAAGAAAAAACTGTTTTACGACTATTTTACTCGGAAAACGGTTACCGAAGAACACGGGATGGCTAAGGTATTTTCACGTCATCGCACCGTTTACACGCGATTCACAAATTGGTACGAATAACAATAATAAAAATACAAGGAGACATGAATATTTCCACGAGCCTTCTGAGTTTCCCGTGTCAATCCTTCCCTTCTTTTTTGTTTTTCGTCCCCCCCCCTCCCCGGTTGTTGTTTTGTTTTGTTTCCGTAAACACCGCGCAGATATGGACGAATTAACGGACGGCGGCGGTGTTGACGGTGAGTAGGCACGTACACATGACGTAATAGTGCGATGCGCGTTGTCTAACGTCGACGACGACAATTCATCGGCCCGCGAGCGACTTCGATGCAGCCCTGAGTGACACGATAAGAACGCGGTTGTTGCCACAGTCGTTATACGCGCGTACAGTTCGTAATACCACACTTATATCTGATCGAGAAAACGCGCGTGGTTATGACCGAACAAGATCAGGTGAGTACGGAGTTCACATAGTGTCTGCGCGAATATTTTCGTTTATTTTTTCAACATAAAAAAAAATGTTATACCCCTAAAGGTAGTTTTATTACGACAACCGTAATATATACCGGCGTGGGATAACAACACAATGACGTGTACCGATGTTTTTTTTTGTATTCGTACGACAGGTTTATTATTATTTTTTATACATTTATATAAAAATAATACATATATTATGTGTACACTCGTGCACGGCGTACTGGTCGTACACACGAATCACACGCGCCGGGTATGGGTGCTCGCTCGTCGTCGTGCGTACGAAATGCGTTATTACGTTAGTATTGTTACATTATATTGTGTACACATGCACATTATTATTATTTATATATATATATATATATTTTATATCCATGTACAACACATGTCGTTCACGATTCCATCGTGTTTCGTTTCACCCACTTGGTCGTCGTAAAGATAACGCCGTGGAACGTCACGTCACGCGTACGAACGTTCGCAGTAAACCGCGTGATGAACACACCGTCGTGTCTGTACATTGTCAGTATTTTTCGTTAGAAAAATCAACCGTTCGTCAACCACGTGCCTCGTCGCGTTTTGTTTAAAAAAAAAAAATAAAATAAAATAATACGTTTCGTCACCACAACGAATACGTAATTATAATCGTGTAGATTTCGCGCGACACAGTGCTATGGACAGTGGTGTTCGTAGGCAGCGGTTCTCGTTTCCGACCACGCCGCTCCACGGTTCCGGATCTCGGACACGTAACGCATCGCACTGTACGGTACAATGTATAGTGTCACGGTGAAGGCGTTACAGGTATATAATACATGCACACGCGTAGAGACGACGAATAAGACCGCCCCATAAGTTGCTTTATATTTATTTTCCGAAAGGGTAGTCCGGTAGAACGACGAGACGATAGAATGCGATAGGCGTAGTATACTTACGATTGCAATGAAATGGTTCTGGCGAAATCGTGTGTACGTGAACAAAAAAAAAAAAAAAAATAAATAAATAAATAAAAATATCAAGGAACGCACATCATGGTAAAACAAACAGTTTCTTCGTTTAACTCAAAATCCAAAATTCGTATGCTTTATGTGTATATACATTTTTAATATTATTTAGTTTTAATTTTTTAAATATGTGCGTATGAGCGTGCGTTTATGAGAGTAATTTGATGATATAATTAAAATTTAATTTTAAGTAAAGTTCTTTGTAAAATATATCGATTAAAAATGAATATGGTGTGGAGAAGGGGAATCTATTTCATAAAATACGTGTACTCCTTTACAAAAAACTGAAATAATGCCCCAGTATATATGTATTTTGTCTGTGTATCAATTGGTTAACGTTAATGATATCAACCACACCAAGAAAATGGAAGGCTGGCAACAATTCGCTAAAAATACAATAATTTTCAGAAATATATTTGCTAATTGTTTACTATTTTTGACATTGGTTTGGAATCGATCGGATCAAGTTGATGAGCTACTTAAACTTGTGCAACCTAATTGGTATTTAGTAGTAAAATATTTTATTAATTTTTAATAATTAATTTAAAATCAAATAGCTCAGATTAAATTATTGTTTATTATTTTCATAATAAATATGAATAGGCCAAGCCTATAAACATCGATATGTGTGTGACGTTGTGAAAATATTTTTTATCACGGTGTAGTATAATATAATAATTTATTAATATAATTTTCCATTTTAAGTGCATTTATATTTAGCCGACATTTTGCAATGCGTGCGCAAGTGCAATAGCTGGGTCAAATGGTAAATTACATAGAAAAGTCAACATAACTTTCAGGTACACGTGCAAACGTGTGACGAACTTAAAAATAAATATAAAATTTATGGACGTTTAAATATTACGTTTTAGCAAAACGATAAAAATCACGAAAAACCGTTACATTTTTTTAGTCAAAAACACATAATATTTATAACACTCACGTCAATATTATCATATCACAAATTCGACCAGAATATAAAATAATTTTAAGTAATATGCTTCCTCGTTATAATAATGTTATACCTTTATCGTAAAACTATACTCGTATACCGCTAATACTTGTTTACCGGTTTAAAAAAAAAAAAAAAAAAAATGAATATCAGTCCGGTCCGGTCTCGGTTCGGTGCCAATCATGGTACTTAAAATCTAAATACAGATATTACTATGTAAATAAATAAAACAAAAAAACCAACAACTTTAGGTATATATTTATTTATAAAAGTCCAGTCCAGTTTAATACAAAACGCATCATATAGTACGGTCTGGGTTAATACAGACTGGACTTTATGGACTGGTTCATAAAACGGTCCAAAATGTTTTAAGATCAGACCGACAGTCAGGTCTACAGTCTACTTTATTAAATTTTATTTAATAACTGGTCCGGTCCTGTCTAAAAATTATATGAAGCCGTCAGTTCGGTCCAATTTTAGTCTTTGATTAACGTTTAAGTGTGATCCTGTCCGACTTCAATCCCCTGTTAAAATTTGAATTCCAGTCTGGTCCTTAGAATAACGGACCGTGCAGAACACTAGTCCATGCATATTCGTAATTGTTTGACCAGGTTTTCACTTATGATGACGGGTCTCCTTGTTCTTCTGGTCTTTGTATACATTACAATATAAGTAGTTTCAATGTCACGATTATTGTAGTAGATTTCTATCGACTTGTTGACGCTTCGGTAGCCGCAGTTGTTGCTTAGTATCCGCTACAGCGCGCCACTATTGCAACGTATATCGTGGATATGGATGTCTGTCAGAGTTCGTAGAACGATTTCGTATTCGAGAGTTAGGGATCGCTTCCATTTAAGTTTCTAAACTAGAGAGATCGAATTTTTTTTATTTTTTTTTAACATGGGACTGACTTTAATTAGCTCTTTTTTACAAAAAATAAAATAAAACACGTATTAAGATTTTAGCATACAAATAAAATATGTATATAGCACATATATATATACATTTTACTATTACACAACATAACCCGATAAAACTATCGATACAATAACTCAAAAAGTACCATTGTAAAGTAGACATTTTATTGAATAATAAGTTCATAATATTTGTTTATGCTGTATGCAGTAAACTCGTATTATTCTTATTAAAATTTTCAATTAACGCGTATAGTTAAAATCGATATGATAAGAATATAATTAACATATTCTAACTATTATTATTATTTTACACCTTAATATTACTTATATTTCTTTATAAATATGCATTTATCGGAATTGTATTTTTGATGTTTTCTGTTTTCCGTCATAGATCGCCGATTGTTACCACCGATTCAGCGGATATAAAATGCCCAGTAAATCAATTATTTTTACCATTTCACTATATTACGACCAAACGTAGACCATATGTAGATCATTTAACTTTGACAATTTGAGCTAGTATATGATATCTTATTGCTATTAAGGTCAAGATGAATAAGGTTCAATTTCATAATAATTTCAATTCAAATAATTTAAATTTTTTTATTTTAATTTTTTGTCTTATATAAAGCATTTTTTAATTTTTTTTGTCAGTAATGTTTTTTTTCTTCATTTTTTTGTATTTCATTTTTTTATTTTTTTATTTTTATTTTTATATTTTTTTAATAATTTTAGTTTTTTTAATATATATAAATCCAAGCCCCAGTGTTAACTTTATACTGTTTCTTTTTATTTTATTGCTACCGTGAAATTTTAATAATATTTTATCATTTATGTTTATTTTAGTTTCGAATATTTGCGTTCAAAATTTCAGTACAATGAGTTGATGGATTATATGGTTCGTACTTCGCGCTGTCAAAAAATTTACAAATTTAAATCGCTATGTTTATTGATATTAAAATGATTTGCACGATCCCGAGCTACATTGAATTATAATATTACTGCCATTTGACGTTTTTCTCGGTCTATGATATTGCATATTCACACGGTAAAAAAAATATTCTTAAACTCTGGAGATGTTTTGGTAATCATAAATACTATTTTATTATGAAATTCGATCCGTATAATATGATAGCTAGACATTAACGAAAACCACATTTTTATAATATGCTGTGATAGCTTTTCTTTATTCCTTCTAGGATCATGGTTTTAAAATCGTTTCCACGCATATATGATTTTTTATATGTACTCGCAGTTATAATATTGTGATTTTATTGGAAAATTATGTGAGTTGGATTGTTTTTATAGGCTGACGTGTGGATAATATGTGCATATTTTACATTCGATTTTCTATTTATTTTCGGTACGCAGTTGCTGGTTAATCTGTTACATGTTATATGTTAATAAATTACGTTTCGTATAATATTATTTGTGCTTACCTATTGTCTTGCATATTATCCATACATTATTTGCTATGCAAATGTGCTAAAATATGAACAATTATTAGTTCTAATAATTGCACAGTCTTAAACTCGATTTAATTCCTTATTCATTGTGTTCATTCATGCAGAACTTAAAACGTTATCATATAACCATATAAAAAATATTAATACTTAAATTATTACTATATATCCATCCGTAAATGGAAGTCGATAAAAGAAACCAAGTCAAACGGTTGATATGAATATAAAAATAGTATAATTGGAATAGCGGTTGACATAATATTATGTTCCGTTCATGTGACCGTCAAATGAAACGTAAATAATTATTGTATTACACAACGTTATAACCATTAAACGACACGGTTGTATTTAACAATGATATCGTGTGACGGCGCAAGTGTGGGCAATTTAACACCATGCGCGCATTGTGCTCCAATACTTGTATTCTTCGTATTCCTTTTTTTCCTTCAACATTTTTTATCATTAACATGTTACGCACTTACGTTTACATGATATCAATAAACATTTTGCTTTTATTAATTGTTTAAATAATCGCAGCTTGATTCCCGATCAGAAATTAATTTCAACTTAAGAATATCAACATTTATTGTGAAGTATATTTCTTTTATTTTTGAATATACACCGTTCTTAAAACCATAATTACATATTCATCCCCACTATCCATCCAGCTGCAAAATGTTATTTTAAATATTAAAATAATTAAATCGATCCATTTTAATTCGCGTTACCTAATATTACATAATATATAAATTAAATTGTATGTATTCATTATTGGTAGTAGCAATTTGGTATGATATACGTCATGCACTCGTGTAGTTGAAACGGCCAGTCGCCATGGGAACCTGGTAATTCGAGTGATCGGTAAAACACCTTCGGCCGAGACATTTGAAGGCACCCCGAGGATTGTATTGTACCCGTACAACGGTTCGAAGCCATCATTAATCATTTGCATAATTAGTTTGAATCGTATTGAAACAGCGGTGTTCTTGTGGTTTTTTTTTTTAACTTCCGAGTGGTATTGAAACACGCGCAAAGTTAATTTTTCCCATTGTGTTTTCGTTGCACGCATGATGAATTATTAATACAGGCGGTGCACACACGGATCGCGCGGCGGCATGACATCGACAACGGCGACGGCGGCGTTCGCGCGCAAAAGGCGCCGGACGAAAGTGAAGAAGTTGAATTCCGATGCTCAGGTCAGTGTTTTAGCCGCGGGACCATCGACCGTCCCGTAGCGTAACACGTCGACGCGTTACCGTCTGTCCGTGTCGAAACTTCGTTCACTCGTGTCACGTACGACGACACGTGTACACGTGTTGAGTACGTGTCGGAGACAGCGGCATCCCGGTCCTGATACATTTGGTCGGCCGAAAAGTGTTTGGAAAGGTCACAACGGTGCATCCGAATATCGACCCCGATGACATACCGTGCGGTGGATGGACAGGAGAGAGGAGACAGTGGTTTTAACCCGAAAAAATACAGTGGAACCTCAATTAACCGTGTTTGTGGTTAACCGTGCTCACTCTTTCAAAATGATGTTCGTTAGGAAAATATTTTATTAGGTCAGACGACTAATAGAGGTTCTTCAAAAATCACATTTATCTTAATAACGTTATAACTCATACGTATGGCAAATTTTCAATTCTGTCGAATTTGATCCATACTATTCAGTGTTTTTTTAATATTTCCTATAATCGTTTCGAAAATAGTCATTGAAAAAATACTTTAGACGCTCTTAATATGCATACAACATTATAATTTATTTTTTATAATTCGTTTGATAAAAAGTCTCGATTAACCGCGTTTTTCATTTATCCGTGTTATCTTTCTCCACCATTACCCCGAATGATCGAGTTTTTACTGTAATGGATTCGATTTTGTGACGATTATTTTGTACGATTTCGGTTCAACGTGAAACGGCCTTCCAATAAACGTCTTCGAACGACGTCGACCTTCACATAGGGTTCGGTGTCACTGCGACACAGGCGGTAGATAAATGTCCAAATGTCCGGTAAACGGTTCAATAACCTAATGCCAAAAGGAACGCGCGCGTATGCGGTTATTACCAAGGGTTATGGTTTTGTCGGCAAAGTTCAACGCGTTACGCGTATGTTAACCGTGCGCCAGGTGTAGACGCGACGAATAAACGAATCGTCGTCATCCATACCTGTACATGCTGCCGCCGTAAAACACCGCGCGCGTTTACGATGTACATACACACGGAAATTCGCGTGCTGGTTCGGGAAATAAATTATGGGAATTTTTTTTACTTTTATTTCTCATATCCGCTTTTATCGGTATTTATTATATTCGTCCACACCCTCATCCTTAACCTCTCCCCCGCCATCGTCCACCGGTCTTCGAACGTTTACTGTTTGAATAACTGCAAATTTAGTTAACCGCGCTAACGTTTAAATATAGGTATATATACACACATGTACATAGATGTTAGTACATCAATACTTATATGTATCGGTTCGTACGACGTATTAGTATCATTTAAATACCTGGGAACGAAACGAGTGGGGTTCAGTTGTCTGACGGGTATCGATACGACATCACGGCGGTAATCGTTGTTCGTGTTTTGTCCTCATAAGCGACACCATATCGTGCGTTGCAAATAATATTTTTCTTTTTATCATACGTTATTATGGGTGACGTTTGCATTGCATCTTTCCTGAGAAACATGGACATACATTCACTGCACTAATCGCTTTATTATATATAATTATACTTATTAATCGCATACTTACGCGCGTTACCGATTTGGGAGAGTGGAAAAAATATGCATTTATCGAACCCTGCGGACAATCTACAAGAGTCCAATGAACAAGACATTGATTTTACGTCTTTGCCGTTAAACGAAGCCTTGCAAGTGAGTATACTTGCTATCTTCGCGCGTTTCCACAGAGGATGATATATCTATATACTTATTGTCAGTGTTGTACATAGATAACCAAAATATTATCTAGATAAGATAATAGATAACTATTTAAACATTTATCTGAATAGATAAATGATAACTACATTTATCTAGATAAAAAACAGATAAAACTAGATAAAATCATAATTTTAAACAGTTTCATCATTCAAAACTTTGTAAAATGGTTATTTTTCTACGAATAAAAAAATTAATTATTAATTATAATTTAATTGGGATAAAATAATCTTCATTAATTTTGCTAATTTAGACAGAAAACAGTACATAAACCTATTTTTATTTTTCATTACCCAAATTTTTTAAACATAAATATTTTAAGATATTATAAATCAACTATTTTTATTTCTTTTTATTTTATGTTATTAATCAGTTAACATATCAAATTAATTTATTATAATTTAAATAATGTATAATTAAAAATGTACCTAGTCTTATGATTTTTGAGATTTAAACATATACCCATAATGTCAGAATCATTTTCATGAATCCGTTTCCTCTCTCGAGAAATAAATTTATCCATGTTAAATTGATAAATATGGACAACTAGTTACCAACGCCGAACAGCCAAAAATAACTAATAACAATGATGGTCAATGGAACGTTAACGTAACAAAGTATGAATGTAGGATACTAAAAATAGTATTATTAATGTTATTAATACTGGTCTCTGATGGACAATTTATAATTTTTAATGCATATCTGTATGTATGTATATTATATTTATGAAACTCATGCTTAATTATAAATTATATAATTATATATCATCATTTTAAAATATTTCATATAAATAGGTATATTTATTTTATTTAACCGTATGTATTTACCAATAACTAATAAGAGATTACTGTTACCTTGCTGCTATTCTCAGTATTCACTAACTCGATTAAGATCTATATACACTAATACTACGTAGCCGTGGCCATTATTCAGTGGGTACTGGTTGGCTTTATTATTATTTATTGCTTTAATCTAGGTTTATACGTTAATATGTTATTTATGGAACGTTCCAACCAAAGATTGACGTTTTATATCCATGTGTTCACACAATTATTGTCTATATTATTATTATATGAGTATATTAGCTATTAGGTATAGGTATATTAAATTCCGGACGTAAGCATTGGGCAGCGTATCACCTAGTATCGTTGCCAGTGGCGTACATACGGAGGGGGGGGTATCCGGGTTCAAAACCCCTCCCAGGGCCAAAAAAAAAAAAGAAAATTGTTTTATTATTGATGACGTGTAATATATTCGTAATTTCATTATTACGCTTTGAACTTAAAATATACAACTATACAAATATTATGATGATTAAATAATTATATTGATAGGTGTTTGAAAAGTTTTGTTAACTATTGTAGTATACCTATCTTTCGATGGTACATACAACACTATGCTGTTTTTATATTCCAATACCTATTAATTTACTGTAATATAAAAGTAAATTATAGATTGGTAAAAAAGTTGTATAATATAATATCTATTTATAGCAGTTATTTATCTGTGCAACGAAAAAAAAAAGATAACGATTATTTTTGTTAAACCTCCCCCAGAGCAAGATTGAATGTACGTCACTGATCGCTAGTATCGCCCAGTCGTCGATTTTATAAAAAAAAAAAGTTAATCATTATAAAATTGAATGATATTATTTGAAATACGTTCATTTTTATATTTTATGTGTAAATAATTTTACAATACCTTTTCTTCGTTTATAGAATATGTATATTTAATATTTAAAACGTACATACGGTAATACTAAGTGTTTATTATTCCTCGTTTCACTTCCCACATAAAAAAAATTATCTTTTTCAAAATTATCTAGATAATTTATCTGAGATAACCATTTTATTTAAAAAGATGGATAAAAAGATACTTCAAATTATTATTATTCAGATAAGATAAAAATATTAATGTTTTTATCTAGATAAATCATCTAAGTAAAATTATCTAGGTCAGGGGTCGGCAACCCGTAGCCTGCGAAGCAATTTCTTATGGCCCACACAAAGGTGGTTAATTTTTGTGTTATATTTTTGTTTATTTTTCATACAATTTTTAATACTATTGAATTATTTTTCTTTATAAATGAAATTGTTATTATTATCTAATCGGAGTCGAAGATAATGATGGCTACACTACTCAATCATAGGATAAATTAAATATACTTATATATTTAATATATATATATATATTTAAAAGTTAAAATTTTAATAGTCATAGTTACTTTGCGTATGTAATAGTTTAATTTTACAAGTAAATCCAAACATTATGACGACTAAAAAAAGAAAAATTTGTGATGAACATCGTCTTTAATAATTCTTCGGTTGATTTATACTTTTTCGTCAAAAACAAAGGTAAGCCATTACGTTTAATTTGTCAAAAAATTAAATTTTTTCTTTAAAGCAATTTTTTCCAGTAACATTCGTATTTTTTACACTCATATTTCTATGTAAAATAATCAAATATAATAGCATTATAATTATTAGTATATATCATATGTAAACATTTTTTTTTAATGTGACCCTTGATAAACATTTGAAAAAAAATATGGCCTGCGTGGTTCAAAAGGTTGCAGACCCTTGATCTAGATAATGCATAACACTGCTTATTGTTATCACCTTTATAGTAACGGTATTTACATATTTTTTTCGTTAGAACATCGCAGTTTAATCTTAAGATGAAATATTTTATTTCACTTCTATCGAATATTTTAAAAATTTACCTTAAACATTCGCAAAACTGACAAGAATATTGATATATAGTTGAAAAATACTTATAAAAAAAAAAAAAAATAAGCTCGAGGATGAATTTATTTCCCTAATCCTCGTCGTAATTACTACGAAACTGTGTTCTAAAGGGTTTGTCAATATTTATCATCAAATCGTACACATTTACATAATCGTCAATTTTAACAGCAGGAACCGTAATTTATTCATATGGAGCACATAAATCCATGAGCTTTGACCGTTTTTTGATGGTGGCTATTATTCGTTGTGTTTACAAGCAAACCGCAGTTCTGACCAGTGGTGTATTTTAAGGGGGGGCGAAAAGTATCACCTCCCTGAATCCGTATTTAAGAAAAAAATTGATTATATGTGAGATATCTATACATTTCAAATTTTTTTAATGTGGATAATTTTATAACGAAATCAAATTACGCGTGGCTGTGAATACTGAATTGGACTTTTTTTCGGGTCAATACTTAGTGAATAAATCAAATAAAATACAAGCGTAACTTTAAAATACACAAACAGATGTTAAAAAAGAACTACACAAAAGCCGATTTTAAGTGGATCCGGCATTAGGTTAAAAAGAAATCACAAATATTAAAGATTCACCTGATTTAAATATTACCGATAATTTTAAGCCTAAATTAAAGAAAAAATTTGAGTCACTCCCCCCCTCTTTAGAAGCAAGTCTAAATACGCCCCTCGTTCTGACCTATGAATATAATGTCATTATTTACGTTTTTATTGAGTATAATATTTTTTTTTCTAAAATTATTTCAGAGACGCCGGGAAGAATGCGAACGAAAAGCCAGAAGAGGGGAAATGGACTCCAGACTGGAGTTCACTTTCCAATTACTAATCGATCATACGGGTCTTTCAAGGAACTCCGTCATGGACTACGTGTTCGAATCCAACATGGTATTGTTACGAGACATATTTACTAGACAAATCTGACTCAAAGCGTACCGCTGATTTTATGCTTAATTATTATCATGATGATATTATTGTTGGAATTAAAATTTCGTTTTTCATTCGATTGTTTTGTATACCATTATAGTTGGATCAAATCAACGAGCTGTTCTTGCCCCACGGCAGGTCCAAACTCATGTGGTTCTATCAAGACGTAGAAGTCGAGGATTCGGACTCGTTCGAAATGGTATACTACAACAACAGTCGATTATAAATAATCGATTATTAACAATAACGCAGCGCGCCTGTACAGTTAAGTTATGTTAGATTCAGGGCTATGTTTTTAGGGGTGATTCGAGGAAACAATAGCCCATCCTGACCTATTATGTAATTGGGCGAAATTACTCTGCTACCGCATTATACGAATATTTGATTGAAACAGGCACTGTCCTATCGGTTCCGGAACAATAATAATTCTGTATATTTGTGTATAAAATTCAAACTATTATAAAAGTTTTTACTTATAAAAGTTTGAATTATATTACCTGTTTATACATACCCTTGTAAATAAATAAACAGTTCAAATTCATTCACTCATTTACTGATTTGCTACATAAAATTTGACATAGCGGTTCCTTTAATACTCTAGATTTTTTGAAAATCGAATTCTTAAAAGTCGAAACTAATTTCTTACTAGATATACTCGTATATACATATATATATATCCTTTTTTGCTATCGAAGAAAATTGTATTGATCGATTTTAATAACTACCGATCGAGGTATAGGTAAATTAATTCAAATAAATGTTATTAGAACATACGATGATAGTGCAATTTTTTCAAGCAAACATTTTTAAGCTCGAGATTAGTAATTGCTCTAATCTAACTAATCTAAAGTAGTAAAATATCTTCATTGAGGAAGTCCGGTTAATTACGAGTAAAATGGTACGATTATTAAACGCCTTCTTGTTTAAAATATATATATATATGTTTAACCTTGTTAAAATTAATATAATGACGTTATTTGTGAACTTGTACAAATAATAAATATTGTGTTAAATGTGTATTGAAATGGGAAAAGCTAATCATGATCGAACCAAGTGGTTGAGCACTGCTGAGGAGGAGAACAGCAAAATTTTATTGGCCTCGACCGTCAAAATCATAAATCCCAAATCGGTTATAACCTAATCTAATATATAGATTGACTAAAACGCGCGTTTTAGACTAATCGTAACACGAATAAATTCTACGCCGGCGGTCATGGTTTCAGATTCAAGTGAAGCCATCGAATAGCAACAGAAGTATTCAACGGCGGCCCAGCCTGGTGTCGAAGCCGAAGAAAAAGAAATTGTTTCTCACGGACGGATGGGAGGTGGGACTGACCGGCATCTGTATTTACATTATCCGCCTGAGCACCGCCAAGCAGTTACCAGAGGAAGGATTTCACAAAGATCTTATCTGCGGCACTTTAGACGCAGAGAAGAAAGGCTTGGTCAAGAGCATAGCCAGAACGATTGAATACGTGTTCATACCGGCGTTAGCTATTCCGCAGACGGGTGACGAGCCGTCAGAAGATCAACCGGACTGTCCATTGATAAAGAGTCAACTGCTGCCGGAACTGAGATCCTTTTGCAGTTGTTTGAAAGGTAATGTGTACATAATTAACTGTTTTTCCAATACGAGTTTGCAACAATATGTTGAACATATACGATTTAACATTGTTTATACTTTAATGTTATACACAAGCGAACGGGAAAATAAATCCATAAAATCCTCGAATAGTAAAGTAATTTTATAGTATTCTCCCAAAGTCCTATAATAGCTATTCTATAATCTGTTGGAGTTTTTTCAAAACAATATTTTTCTTACAAGGAAAACGAATAGTTTTATCTTTATATTACATAAAGCCCATGTTATCCTAAAGAGTTTTTACATGTATGTAGTATGTGAAGAAGTATGTGACCAACCAAATATTTTTGCTGATGAAATGAGTTTGCTATCAAAAGTACCTTCATATAAGGAAGCCAAACAACTTGCTACAAACAGAGATGAAATATTGATTTTAGAGAAAAGAGTAACAAACTGGATAAGAAAGATACGAGAAGTAAACTTTAAATCAATTAATTAAAAAATGGTTATATTTTCGGTTATTATAGAAATGTGTTCCTAGATTTTACTAGAAGACGAAAAATTGCAGTACGAAAGTGATACTAGTGGACCTCAAGACGAGTTGGAGTATTGGAAAAAACGTGGAGCCCAATTTTCACAAATCGCTGCTAATCTCAGTTGGGACGAAGTACAATATTATAATTAATAATTTTTTTTTATTAAATTTAATATCCATTTGATATTTTAGGGTTTGTGATTTTTTCAGGTAATAATGACTATTTGTTGTTTACAACTCTCCCGTTCTCGAATGGTTGACCGGTGGAGACGAACAGACAACCACCTGACATTATGCTATAATGAAGCAAAAGACAACTCTAAATATATTCAGGCGCTGGAAAAATGTTGTCATTCGCTATACCTTGATAATCCAGTTAAGATGAGAAACTCGTTAGTTCGAATGCTTCAAACTGTTCGTCTTATTCACGACGTGTCGATGTTTTACAACACAACTGAAAAAATATCATCACTTATGGTCAAAGTAAATATTATGACATTGAATGGTATTAAAATTGTAAGTATATATTTGAAATTTAAATTGAAATACATTAAATTTGTGTAGATCACTAATCAAATGATCGAAAGCTGTAAGCTTCACATTACAAATCGAAACAAAGACACAATATGGTCTCAAGATAGATCAGTCCTTACAACAAAACTGAACGAATGTATTACATTAAACAAATTATACCATAATACTTACGAAAGGGTGAAATATCACCATGGTGCTGGCAGGCAGTTCAGTTTTTCTGAAAACTACGTGTTCGGTAAATTTGATGCATTTTGTGATAGACTAATCAAAGTCTTAACAGTTTTTGATACAGTCGATGATTATAACGGATTATTTGAACGGAGAATGGAAGGTTTACTATTTGGAGAAGGTATGGGATCTTTTTTTTAAAAAATAATTTTATCTAAAAATTATATATTTCGAAAATGTCAGCTGGATAACTTTGACAAATTAAATTTATTTTAGCATTAGACAATGCTGTGCGAACATTTGATGAAGCTAAGTTAGTGGTGATGAACAAAGGATATGATTATTTAGACCAGAAAAACAGAGAATTTGATCATGATTATGTAACGTTTTTCGTTATGGTCCAAACGTTAAAAGATGATTTAGCGCATACAATAGAGACCAATTTTAGTTCTGTTTGGGAAACAGGTCAAGGAATAAAATTCTTGGATAAATTTGAAAAAGTATTGTATATTTTCAGCTGTAAATTTATGCATATTAAATTAATTGTTTAAAATAGATTGCTACAAAAATACCAGTTACCCGAATGGATTTAAAATATAGTAGAGTATTGAAATATTGTGAAGGTCAAATAGATAGAACATTAAAATTATTTAAAAAACGAAAGGGAAATCCTCCAGTTCCTAGAAATTTCCCACCACTATCTGGTAGTATTAGATATATTATTTTGGTTATTAAATTAAAAAAACAAGTATAGATAGAAACAATTTTATATTAGGTCGTATTGTCTGGGTGAGATCATTACGACAGCGATTAAGTTATTTAATGGAAGAAGCAACCGATCATCCAGTATTAAAAGTTATGCCGGAAATGACAGATGTACAAAAAAAATTTTCTGCTATGTCTGTAGCTTTGCTTAACTACGAGGAAGAGATTAAAAGTATTTGGATGAATCACAATGTAATTAGTCGTTGAATCAGTCTTTATTATTGATCTTATAACTATTTCAAATGTATTTACAGGTTAAAGTGATAGAATATTGTTTGGTTCAACCGATATTAAAATTTAAAAATACAACTAATATGGTTTATGTGAACTTCGATCCTAGATTGAGCTTACTTATTTTAGAGTCTAGTTGTATGCTAAAAATGGAACTACAAGTACCAATTGTTACAAAAGCATTATTTTTTAAAAAAGATCATTTTACACTTGTGTGTGATACACTGCAAGTAAGTAAAAAATATTATATATGTATTTATAAAGCGACAACAATATTATTTACTTATGTTATTCTTGTACCGATTTATATAATTTTTAATGCGAATGCAGTGTATGCTAAACAAAATGAGAAAAGTGGCAAGCAGCATCAATTTAGATGTCAGACCACTATTCGTCACTCAATTAGTATGGCTCTTGGATCTTTTAACTCCTGGATTACAAAAAATTGATTGGACGGATTCAGAGTGGAAGAGTTTTGTTGAAAAAACAAATTGTGCGATAGACAAATTTCAAGTTTTAGTTGTCAGGTAATAATACTGATTTCGTTTGTACGTATTTTACTACAGTGCAGTATTTGATTTTTTTTTTTTGATTTTAGAATACACGACGTTTATAATAATAGAATACTTCAGGTGCTCTCTTCAATGCAACTAATTACCCTTCATACTTTTCCTGAAGATGGATCGACTTGGACTGCTGAAGAATTTTTGGATAAAATTGACGAAACGTGTCGACAGGCTTCAATGGTTTGTGATTGGTATACGTTAAATAAAAAATACTGTATTTATTATAATAATAATATTATGATCGATTATTTTTTAACCGTATAGGAATTAAATCAAAAGAGCACTTTAGTAGAAGAGGCAGTCGAAGAAGTTTTAACTCTGGTTCAAAAAGCAAATGAAAGTGTTACAATACCAAAACTAGAACACGAAATTAGTGATAAAGGTAAAACTAGTGTACATTGTTGGTATATATGCATAAATATATGTTTAAACGGTTTTATAGATAAAAATGATGGAGATATTACCAAACAAGAAGGAAAACCAAGTGAAGCTCAACCTGACTGGAGTACTGTGTGCGAGTTTTTCGACAACCCGTTTGTTTTAGCAGCATATGAGTTACCACCAACAGTGTATACTCTTGCTAATAGTGCTGTTAAGGAAATGAGGCGTTATTACAGTCGAAAAGTAATCGATGTACTTATTAAAATAACAAGACTGTCGATTGATGCTTTAAGGAAAAAATTCTCTCAAGAACAAGGTAAATTGACAGTGAATAACCATCGTGTTGTTCGTAAATCATTAATACATAAATAAATACATTTTTTTTCTTATTGTTACAATATATTTTTTTTAGGGGAAAATCCAATTTTCGAAGTGCAAGCAATTCTTATGGTCCCGTCAATAGTTATAAGACCGGACATAAATGAATTACAAGATATAATGGTTCAAGCTGGAAAATTGATGGTAGGGGTTTCAAGAGGGGTCGGACAATGGTCTGGTAATAAGAAAACAAAGGTAATATTTTGTAATATCTGTGCAATAAATAGTGAAATACGAAAACTACAACCAAAGACATGAAATTTAATTTGGGTATTACTTATTTGGTTTTGTCTTGTGTTGTCCACGTATTTGTCTTCGTGTGCGCGTCTCGTTTGTTTCTCTGCCGACAGGTGTTAGCAGAAAAACATTGGAAACAGCTAAAGAAAGATTGCAGCGAGCGTAGAGAAAAATTTTTTTCTAAAGTTGTTATTTCTGATATGGAACAGAGCGTACCAGCCACTGTGCCCACCATAGATGATGCAAGAGCGAAGCGTCGCAGGTTATACAAATTGACAAGCGAGAAGAAACCTCCGTTTCCTGTTATGCATAGAAATTTTTATTCTCACGTTACCGAAAATAAAGAAATCATTAAAGCACTTTCGTTACTCTCTACTTGTGTCCAACCATTGAAGCCAGTAAACGCCATTAGTATACGCTTTGAATAAATTGTATTAACCAAATAAACATTTTATAGATGCTGTTTGAGTTTTTAAGTCTTTGGACGCCATACAAAATATTGTGGAACAATGATCTATCAGAAAGACGAGATTTGTCAACAGTTTCACTGTTAGATTCGGAAGCATATCTTCAAAAGCATCATGAACTTTTGGAAAGTTTGAAAATGAAACCGGATATATATGAATTTGGATCTTGTGTTATAGTATCTGTTGGTAAGTTATATTGTAAATTTATCTATTGTAAAAAAATTTATTATTTCATATATATATATATTTATTAGAGAAATTAAAATACGGTCTAACCATTGAGGTGAAGTCATGCAATCGTCGAATTGGTCAATTGTTACGGAAAAAATACCACCGTGAAATGGATTACGTGTACGCTGTAATGAATGAAATGGAAAGAAAATTGGAGCGCTCTATTAGAGATCTAGATGACATTAGAATGGTTATAGAAACATTAAAAAAAATTAGAGAAAACGAAGTTGATATGGAACTTAAAATAGAACCTATTGAGGAAGCCTTTAACGTTCTTACACGTTATGATCTACCTGTAGATAGAGAAGATTTAGAGTTAGTTGATAATGTAAGGTATTGTTGGCAAAGAGTGTTGAGCCGAGCCATGGATATGAATATTTATTTGTTGGAATCCCAACCCCAACTGCAAAAAGAATTAGCTGACAATTTAAAACATTTTAAACTGGACTGTGTACAGTATTGCCACGAGTATAGAACTTTGGGACCAATGATGCCTGGTCTTACACCCAGAGAAGCATCAGATCGGTTAATTATGTTTCAAGTAAACTATAAAGATATTAGCTTAATAATGTGTATATATTTAAATAATTTTCCAAAAAAATTGTTAATTATTTTTACAGAATCGATTCGATGGCATGTGGCGTCGTCTACAATCATATCAAAGCGGAGAAGAATTGTTTGGTTTAGAAACTACCGAATACCCAGAGCTCGTTCAAATACGTAAAGAATTGAACCTTCTTCAAAAGTTATATAAACTTTATAACGATGTGATCGACCGAGTTAGCAGTTATTACGATATTCCATGGGGAGACGTCAACATAGAGCAGATAAACAATGAATTGATGGAGTTCCAAAACAGATGTCGGAAACTACCTAAAGGATTGAAAGAATGGCCAGCTTTCCATGCATTAAAGCGAACTATTGATGATTTTAACGATATGTGTCCATTGTTAGAACTTATGGCAAATAAAGCAATGAAACAAAGACATTGGCAAAGAATTATGCAGATCACTAGTTACAACTTTGAATTAGAAAGCGAAGGATTTTGCTTGAAAAATATTTTAGAAGCACCTCTACTGAAACACAAAGAAGACATTGAAGATATTTGCATATCTGCTATGAAAGAAAAAGATATTGAAGCTAAACTAAGGCAAGTCACCAATGAATGGTCTGTACAGGAATTAACATTTTTAACGTTCAATAACCGGGGAGAGTTATTACTTCGAGGTGATACAACAGCAGAGACTATCGGTCAATTGGAAGACAGTTTAATGATTTTGGGATCATTGATGTCTAATAGGTAGAATTATATTTATGAAATTTATAAAAATGATTCTTATAAAACTTATGAAAATATAGGTATAATGCACCTTTTCGAAAACAAATACAACAATGGGTTTACGATTTATCTAATACCAATGAAATTTTGGAGCGTTGGTTATTAGTTCAAAATATGTGGGTGTATTTAGAAGCGGTATTTGTTGGAGGTGATATAGCAAAACAATTACCCAAAGAAGCAAAAAGGTTAAGGATTTACATTGTTTCGATGGATTTAAGTTGCATTTAATGTAACTATTGATTGAATAAATTGTATTGTTAAAGGTTTAGTAAAATTGACAAATCGTGGCAAAAAATAATGCAACGAGCACATGAAACTCCAAGTGTGGTAATTTGTTGTGTTGGAGATGATATGCTCAAACAGCTTTTACCACATCTACAAGAACAATTGGAGTTGTGTCAAAAATCATTAAGCGGGTAAATGATTACTAATTCCAATTTTATATTGTTCTATTATAATAATACCGTATAATATTTTAGTTACTTGGAAAGAAAAAGAACTATGTTTCCTAGATTTTTTTTTGTTTCGGATCCTGCTCTATTGGAGATTTTAGGGCAAGCTTCAGATTCACACACGATTCAAAATCATTTACTTTCAATATTTGATAATACAAAGGCAGTGAAATTCCATGAAATTGAGTATAATAAAATGACTGCCATTATTTCTACGGAAGGTGAATTCATACCACTCGAGAGAGCCGTAAGAGCTGAAGGCAGCGTGGAAACTTGGTTAACTAGTTTATTGCAGACATCTCAGCAAACTATTCATTCAATTATTCGATCAGCGAATCACCAAATAAACGATAATAATTTTACTCTATTGCCGTTTTTGGAAAAGATGGCCGCTCAGGTATATTTTTGACTAACCACAGACGATATTAATATTACGATAAAAATTATTGATGTCAATAGATTGGAATACTAGGAATTCAAATGATTTGGACCAGAGATTCCGAAGTAGCATTAATTCATGCTAGAACGGACAGAAAACAGATGCATGATACCAACAATCGATTTTTAGAACTTTTAAACACATTGATCGACCAAACAACTAGAGATTTGACGCGCATCGAAAGAATAAAGTTTGAAACGTTGATTACAATACATGTTCATCAAAGAGATATTTTTGATATTTTGGTAATTTTTGAAATATCTTATACTTAAAATTAGCTATAATTTGTCTGACAATTATGTTTAACATTATTATTAATATTAGAACGAAAAAAATTGTTTAAAAATTAAATTTTGTTACATATTATCTAGTGTCGACTCAATGTGCGTTCTGTCAATGATTTTGAATGGCTAAAACAATGTAGATTTTATTTTAAAGAGGATTTGGATAAAACTTGGATTTCTATTACAGACGTTAATTTTAATTATCAAAATGAGTATCTAGGGTGTACAGAACGTCTAGTTATTACACCACTTACAGACAGGTTAAACGGATTTCTGTCATTTTGGATGCGTTTATTTATTTAGAGTTTATTTAATTATTTCTTTCTAGGTGTTATATAACACTCGCTCAAGCATTGGCAATGAGTATGGGTAGCTCACCATGTGGACCCGCTGGCACGGGAAAAACTGAAACGGTAAAAGATATGGCGAAAACCTTGGCCAAGTATGTGGTCGTTTTCAATTGTTCCGATCAAATGGATTATAGAGGATTGGGAAGAATTTACAAAGGCCTAGCTCAATCAGGAACATGGGGCTGTTTTGACGAGTTCAATCGTATTGAACTTCCTGTATTATCAGTAGCAGCACAACAAATAGCGGTTGTATTGTCAGCAAAAAAAGAGAAGAAAAAACAGTTTACGTTTACGGATGGTGATATAATAGATCTCTGTCCTGAATTTGGCATTTTTATTACAATGGTACATATGATAAGTGATGGGAACCGAACTTCAACTTAAATTTGTTTGATTTTGTAGAACCCAGGTTACGCTGGCCGTAAAGAATTACCAGAAAATTTAAAAATTCAATTCCGCACAGTAGCAATGATGGTTCCAGATAGACAAATTATTATTAGGGTCAAATTAGCTAGTTGTGGATTTTTAGAAAACATAACACTAGCTCGAAAGTTCTATACTTTATACAAACTATGCGAAGAACAATTGACAAAACAAGTCCATTACGACTTTGGTCTGCGAAACATTTTGTCAGTATTAAGAACTTTAGGTGCCGCTAAACGTGTTAATAGTAAAGATTCGGAAAGCACAATCGTTATGAGAGTATTGCGAGATATGAATTTATCAAAATTAATTGGTAAGTCATGACTAAATATGTTTTTATAATATTTCTATTTAAGCTTTAAATATTATTTGTTTAACATCATAATATTTTTTCGTTAAATAAACAGATGAGGATGAACCACTATTTCTTTCGCTAGTCACTGATTTATTTCCTAATCAAGTATTAGAGAAAACAGCATACCCTGAGTTGGAAGAGGCAATCGCAAGTCAAGTGGAGGAAGAAGGTTTAATATATCACTCACCATGGGTTCTGAAATTAATACAAGTAAATTATTAAAATAATGTTAAATTACGAAAAATAAATTATTTCATTTGCATGTAAACGATAACAATTAATGATCTTATAAGTGACCAATGATATAAACTGTTTATAGTTGTATGAAACACAACGCGTTAGACATGGTATAATGACGCTTGGACCAACTGGATCTGGAAAAACCTGTTGCATCCAAATTCTAATGAAAGCTTTAACTATTTGTGGTGAAAGCCATAGGTGAAAATGTAAATTTAATTTATCTGATTAGTGTATTTTTATTGGCTAAATGTTATAGGGAAATGAGAATGAATCCTAAAGCGATTACTGCAGCACAGATGTTCGGTCGTCTTGATGTGGCTACTAATGACTGGACAGATGGAATATTTTCAGCCTTGTGGAGAAAAACACTCAAATTAAAAAAAGGAGAAAATGTGTGGCTGGTTCTCGACGGACCGGTGGACAGCATTTGGATAGAAAATTTAAACTCCGTGCTGGACGATAACAAAACATTAACATTAGCTAATGGTGACCGTCTTCCAATGGCGCCGTGTTGTAAAATCATATTTGAACCGCATAACATCGATAACGCTTCTCCGGCTACTGTATCGCGTAACGGAATGGTGTATATGAGTTCGTCTGGGTTGGATTGGTGTCCTGTCTTGGCAGCTTGGTTGAAAAAAAGAAATAAGCGAGAATCGAAATTATTTAAACGGTTATTTGAGATGACGTTTTCAACAATTTATACTTGGGCATCACAAAATTTAAATATGACAATGAAAGTCTTACAATGCAATACTATTCAACAGGTAAGTACTTAAAAATCTATTTGATCAATGTTTATGGAGCACGTGATGGTTTTTATCTCATATGAGAACTCAATATGAATTTAGATGTTAGTCTTGTTACAAGGATTGATTCCAAAGAAACCAGACGAAGAAGACGGCAGAGAAGAAGAAGAAATTGAAGACGATGATACACATTCCTCCGAAGAAGGGGATGGAACAGAAAACTACTATCTCCAACCAGACAATTTGCTGTAAGTAAAAAAAAACAATTCATTTAACATTTGAATATTATACAAACAATATATTTTCAGACCAAGTAAAATACATTTACAACGCTTGTATATGTTTTCATTGGTGTGGGGATTAGGAGCTTTATTGGAAACAATGGATAGACATAAATTTCACAGCTATATAAACGATAATTTTGCTTCAATTATTGATTTACCCAAATTAAATGACCAACCCGATGCCACAGTATTTGATTTCTTCGTTACTGATGAAGGTGTGTGCTGCATTGAGTTTTAGATAAAATTTAAATCCAATTTAATCGTGATTACATAGGAAAATGGGAACATTGGAACGTTGCGATGGCATCTGCCACTCAAACAGAATCGTCTAGCTCTGATTACAGTCAAGTTCTGGTGCCTATTTTAGAAAGCGTTCGTATCACGTATTTAATAAACATCATAGCTACACAAGAACATCCGGTTTTGTTGATTGGAGAACAGGGATCGGGCAAAACCGTTATGATGAAATCTTATATGCGATCCGCTAAACCAGAACTTTATTTAAGCAGATCATTCAATTTTTCTTCTGCAACGAGCCCGTTTCAATTTCAAGTAAATCGCTTAAAATTTCATAACATTCAAATTGAAAATTTTATAATATTTATTTTAGAAAACTATTGAAAGTTACGTAGAAAAAAGATTAGGAAACACATTTGGACCACCGGGAGGTCTTAAGATGACCGTTTTTATTGATGACATTAATTTACCAGAAGTTAATGAATGGGGTGATCAAATTACAAATGAAATCGTTCGCCAAACAATGGATATGAAAGGATTTTATAGTTTAGAAAAACCTGGTGAATTTTCTACTTTGAGTGATATACTTTTTGTTGGCGCTATGGTACATCCAGGTATTTTATTAAATTTGCAATTTTTTTTAGAATGATTTTAATTTAAATAAAAAAATATAAACACCAACATCGGAAAAATATTTTAGGCGGCGGACGAAATGATATACCATCAAGGTTAAAACGACAGTTCTGTATATTCAACTGTACAATGCCATCAGATGCCTCTATTGATAAAATCTTTCGAGTAGTTGGTGAAACGCACTATAATGCTAAACGAGGGTTTTCAGTGGAAATACGAAATTTGGTGAAGAAATTAACACCAATAACCAGAGAACTTTGGCATCTGACAAGGGTAATCGTTTAGTTCATAACAATATGCCTCTAAAGTCATCACAATAATTGTATACGGATCACTTAGAAAACTCTGGTGTTATATTTAGATATACTATTATTTATTCATGTATATAAATGTTTTGTTCAGAACATGACAATGTATACATCGAAATCATCATCAACATTATTACTAAATATCTGTCTATTGCTGAGAATATTTACAATACGTTATATTGAGAAAAAAATAATTATGATCTTGTTTATATAGATGAATTTATTACCCACTCCAGCCAAATTCCACTATGTATTCAGCTTAAGAGATTTATCTCGTATTTGGCAAGGCATGGTTGGAACGTTGAGTACTGTTATTGATTCTTCAAAAACATTAGTGATGCTATGGAGACATGAGACTACCAGGGTATTTTCGGATAGGTAATTTTTATTGCAGATCAACAATGTAAAATGGAAATGAAATTAAAATTTGAACAATTCTTTTAAGTTTATTTATTTATTTGAACTGTGTAATAATAAAATGTTTCGTTTAAAGATTTACATCATTAAATGATAAGAGTTGGTTTGATAAAGAACTTAGAAACGTTGTGGAGACAAGATTGGGCACTCAGTATATAAGCATGTTGGATGTAGATCCTCCGTTTGTCGATTTCATGAGGTGAATAGTCTCGTTATTTTTGTTATATTCGATAATAGTTCGTGTACAATGTACACTGTACATATTGTGAAAAATACATTTAAGAGATGCACCAGAGCCAACCGGAGAAGAAGGTGAAGAAGCTGACATGGAACTTCCCAAAGTTTATGAACCTGTCTTGGAAGAATCTCAACTCAGGGAAAGATTGGAAATGTTTTTGTCTCAATTTAATGAAATGGTTCGAGGTGTTGGAATGGACCTCGTATTTTTTCCAGATGCTATTCTGCATCTGGTTAAAGTAAGTAATAATTAATAAGTTTCAAATGATATGAAAAAAAAAAAAATTCCCTAGATATCAAGAGTTATACGACATCCTCGTGGAAACGTGATGCTAGTAGGCGTCGGAGGTTCTGGAAAACAGTCATTGACTAGACTGGCTTCTTTTATAGCTGGCTATAAGACGTTTCAAATAGCATTAACTAGGTTTGTAACAATTAAAATTAAATCAAATTGTAATCTAATATGTACTTTTAATTTCTTATAGGTCCTATAATATAACAAACTTCTTGGAAGATCTTAAACTATTATATAGAACATGTGGTGTTCAAGCAAAAGGCACCACATTCATTTTTACTGATTTAGATATTAAAGAAGAAGGTTTTCTGGAGTATTTGAATAATATTCTATCGTCTGGTAAAATATGTGAATTATCATTTCAGTCCACATTTGTTAACAACGTATTGTATATATTTCAAGGTGGGATAACCAATCTGTTTACAAAAGATGAACAATCTGAAATAATATCGGAATTAACACCTATAATGAAACGGGAAAATTCAAAGAGAACATTAAACCATGAAATTATAATGGATTACTTTTTAACGAGAACATGTCAAAATCTTCACGTTGTGTTTTGTTTTTCACCAGTAATTATTTTTTTTTTTTATTATTTATCCCTATAAAATATGTATCAATTATAACAAATAATGAATTCTAGGTTGGAGAAAAGTTCCGAAATCGTGCACTTAGGTTCCCAGCATTAGTATCTGGGTGTACTATAGACTGGTTCCAACCATGGCCCAAAGATGCTCTTATTCAAGTAGCTGAACATTTTCTGGTTGATTTCGATATTGAGTGCACGGTTGAAGTGAAACAAGAACTAGTTGGTGCGATGGGTACGATTCAAGATATCGTAGATCATACGTCCAGTGATTATTATCAAAGGTTCCGTCGGGCTACACATGTCACACCAAAATCGTATTTGAATTTTATCGGTGGATACAAAAGTATATATCATCAAAAACAAAAAGAATTGGGCGAAGGAGCTCACCGAATGGACACTGGTCTGGCAAAACTGGAAGAAGCTTCTATTTCCGTAGAGCTACTTAAGAAAGACTTGGATGTCATGGAACAAGATTTAGCATATGCTTCACAAAAAGCAGAAACCGTAAGTACAAAAAAATGTATTTCCAAAAATTTAAAAAATGTTAAAATAATCATATATAAAAACAAACTTATAGGTGTTGGTCGAAGTAACTGACCGTGCAAGGCAAGCAGAAATTGTGAAAAATCAAGTGATGAAAGTAAAAGTAAAAGCAGAAGCTTTAGTTGAGTCAATAGCAAAAGAAAAAGCAATCGCTGAAGAAAAACTGGAAGCAGCTCGGCCAGCACTAGAAGAAGCTGAATCAGCATTGAACACCATAAAACCTGCACACATAGCGACTGTTCGTAAACTTGGAAGACCTCCGCATCTTATTATGCGTATTATGGATTGTGTGTTGATATTATTTAAACGAAAGTTGCATCCGGTCATAAGTGATACAACCGTGAGATGTCCTAAGCCATCTTGGCCAGAATCCTTAAAGGTGATTCTGAAATGTATTTAAATAGTAAGATAAAATACAGTTACTTTCGTCACAATAAACAATGAATAATTATAATGTACTAATTACATGTCAATAATTGTGATGAAATGTTGCAAAGTATTTGGTTTATTGTTATATTAGTTTTGTTGATTTGGATAAAGTAGAAAGATATGATTGATGATTTAAAATGAAAAGTATTTTTTTTTTTTTTTTTAAATATTAACTGGTTTAAAATGTTCCTAAAAATCGCAAGATATAACTACTAGTATTTTAATAAAATTAAAATCTTGACTTATTAATTGCTTTTACATATTACAATTAAAATTATAATTGTCCTTTTTAGATGATGGCAAGTACAACGTTTTTACTTCAGCTACAAAACTATCCAAAAGATACAATCACTAGTGAGATGGTAGAACTATTGCAACTTTACTTCAACATGGAGGATTATAATATGGACACAGCAAAAAGAGTTTGTGGTGATGTCGCTGGTTTATTGTCATGGACAAAAGCTATGGCATTCTTTCATAGTATAAATAAAGAAGTGTTGCCACTCAAAGTATGTATTAATTATTTGTGTTAGACAGGAACATTAAGCACAAGGTAAACCGTGTGTCTAGGCCAATTTAACCTTACAAGAAGCCAGACTTAGTATTGCAATGGACGATTTGTCAAAAGCTGAACTTCAACTTCACGAAAGAGAAGTAGCATTAAATGAAGTTAAAAGCCAATATGATGCTGCTGTCCAAGAAAAACAGAGGTTGACCGATGCAGCAAATGTATGTCTAAGGAAAATGACTTCGGCAACCGCATTAATTAATGGTCTTGGTGGTGAAAAAATAAGATGGACTCAACAAAGTAAAGAATTCAAAAAACAACTTGGACGGTACTGTTTATAATTTATAAGTAATATTAATTATTTATAAAAAAAGTGCGAGACATCAAGGTCGGGTGATACTTCACAGTTGGACGTGATAAAGAGATGTATGGATGTTCAGAATATGAAACTATAATATTTATATCTTTTTAATGAAATAATGTTAAAAACAAAATAACATAATTATTATAATTCTATTTTATTATAGACTTGTTGGTGACGTTTTGTTGGCCACAGGATTTTTGTCTTATTGTGGACCTTATAATCAAGAATTTCGTTCAAATTTAGTTCAGAGTTGGATGAATATTTTAACAACTCAAAAAGTACCATTTACAGCAAAGTTGAACATAATAAACATGTTGGTTGAAAATTCCATGGTACAAACCTTTGAAAATATCTAACTGTTATTATAATTATCCATATAAAAATATGCTTTTAAATGGTTAAGGTTTCCGAGTGGACATTGCAAGGTCTTCCTAATGACGAACTTTCAGTGCAAAATGCATTAATAGTGACGAAATCTAGTTCATATCCATTGTTAATCGATCCTCAAAACCAAGGAAAGATGTGGATTAAAAACAAGGAATCTTCTAATGAACTACAGATAACTTCTCTAAACCATAAATATTTCAGAACTCATTTAGAAGATTGCTTATCTTTGGGAAGACCATTATTAATTGAAGATGTTTGTGAAGAACTTGACCCAGTAATTGATAACGTGTTGGAAAAGAATTTCATTAAATCTGGTTCAATTGAAAAGGTATAAGAAATTAAAACACACGTACTATACGTTAGGTCCTATATATGCACAGAACATTTTCGAAAAATACGAATCTATTATATTATAATGGCAATTTAGAATTTCAATTCTTATAAACTTACAAATATTCTAGCATGTGTTCAAAAATGTTTTTTTATAAAAATGTTTCATAAGTATAATAAATATCACAGGTAGTTGTTGGTGATAAAGAAACGGACGTAATGCCAGGTTTTGTCTTATATATAACAACCAAACTGCCCAACCCCGCCTATTCACCGGAGATTAGTGCTAAAACGTCCATTATAGATTTTACAGTCACAATGCAAGGTCTTGAAGACCAACTTTTAGGTAAATAAAAATTTAAAAAAAAAATTTAAAATTACAAATTTAGTAAACATTTTATACTATTTCAAGGTCGAGTTATACTGATGGAAAAATCCGATTTAGAAGCTGAACGTGTAGCCTTATTCGAATCTGTTATACAAAACCAACGTTCAATGAAAGAATTTGAAAGCAATCTGTTGCACAAGTTATCGTCTATTCAAGTAACACATATCTAAACGCATTTAGTACATGATATGTTATTATATTTATGCTTTTATTTATTTTTTTGTTATTCAGGGTTCATTGGTAGACGATGAGGATTTAATTAGTGTGCTCCAAGAGACTAAGGCTACTGCAGAGGCTGTGAATGCCAAACTTCAAGTTTCTGAACAGACCGAAATAAAAATTATGAAGGCTAGAGAAGAGTTCCGTGCTGTTGCAGCTCGTGGATCCATACTCTATTTTTTAATCGTTGAAATGAGTAATGTTAATGTTATGTACCAAAACTCACTGAAACAATTTTTAATGATATTCGACAACTCGATTAACAAATCAATAAAAAGTGCGATAACCGAAGAACGTATTATAAATATATTACAATATCTGACTTATGAGGTGTGGATGTTTACAATGAGAAGTTTATACGAACGCCACAAGCCATTGTTTACGTTGATGTTGGCTATGAAAATTGATTGCCATAAAAAACGTATTACCCACGAGGAGTTTATGACATTTATCAAAGGTATTTCTGTATTGAACTTTATAATCAGTCATAATGTCTGCATAAACACATTTAGTTACATACGTTTTGTATGATTTATAATTCATAATATAAAGTTAAAAATAATATTTGTAGGTGGAGCATCATTAGATTTGAATGCAGTGGCTCCAAAACCATTCCGATGGGTATTAGATATAACTTGGTTGAATTTGGTTGAACTTAACAAGTTATCAGTCTTTTCAAATCTTTTAAACAAGGTAAATCTGTTTTTTTTTTACTGCCTACTAATAAATATTATTTTAATTTTATTACAGTAAAGTTAATAATGAGATAATTATAATTTAATTTGTATTTGATTTTAATTTTCTAAATTTAAATTAAACATTCATAATTCTATTTAATTTTTCTTATACATATTTACTCATAGTAAAAATTAAAAAAACTAATTTTAGTAAAAGATTAATTTTGTATGTAAACTTCAATTTATATTTTTTTTATTTTATTTTTTTGATACATTCTAAATTAATTTTCAGATTAAACAAAATGAGAAAGATTGGCGTAATTGGTATGAAAAAGAAAAGCCAGAGGAAGAAGATATACCTTGTGGATATAATAAATCTCTTGACGTTTTTCGTAAACTTTTACTTGTTAGGTCTTGGAGTCCTGATCGCACGTTATCACAGTCACGAAAATACATAATGGGTAATAGAAAGAGAATAAGAAAGAATTAGTAAAATAAATAAAATATATATTTATATATACCTTCGCATTTTACAGATTCATTAGGGCCAGAGTATGGAGAAGCGTGTATTTTAGATTTGGAAAAAACCTGGGAAGAATCAGAACCTCAAACTCCACTTGTGTGTATTCTATCCATAGGCTCTGATCCATCTCCACAGATTACAGCTCTAGCTAAATCTAAAGACATCCGTAATGCATAATATCATATCATATTGTATTATATTACAAATTCTTAATTGAGTGTGTGTGTGTTTTCGTTTTAGAAATACGCTCCGTATCCATGGGCCAAGGTCAAGAAATACATGCAAGAAACATGATATCCGATTGCATAGCCAATGGCGGTTGGGTACTTTTACAAAACATGCATTTATCTTTACCGTTTTGTACAGAAGCCATGGATGCCCTGTCAGATTCAGAAGAAATACACAACACTTTTAGAATGTGGATAACCACTGAAGTGCATCCTCAATTTCCAATAGCTTTACTTCAGGTGCATACAATCATTTTCCTTCGACAAACCTCCATATTACTTACGATACAAATTACTATACAATTTAACAATGTTTCATTAGATGGCGATTAAATTTACAAATGAACCTCCCCAAGGGATTAGGGCCAGCATGAAGAGGACGTATCAAAACATTAGTCAGGTAATACAATACTTCCAATATACCTTACTTTTACTTTTCTTCTTTTTTTTTTTTTTACTAAACACAATGCGCGATTATTGAAAATAATATTATAATGTCCTAGGATATGCTCGATTATTCAGCTCAACCACAATGGCCCATTTTACTATATGCCGTAGGATTTCTTCACACAATCGTACAGGAAAGACGGAAATTCGGACCGTTGGGATGGAACATACCGTACGAGTTCAATCAAGCCGATTTTGCTGCTAGCGTGCAGTTCATACAAAATCACTTGGACGATATGGACCCCAAAAAAGTGGAATTATTAAAACATGAATATGATAGTCGAAAACTTATGGTTTTTTTTAACATATACAGGGTGTTTCTTGGCCGACTATATGTTACATGTTGGGCGAAGTGCAGTACGGCGGAAGGGTGACTGATGATTTCGACAAAAGACTTTTGATCACATTTACTCAAGTAAACACATTTAAACAAATTTACTTAATATAGAAATATCATGAATAATTTATAATGTACATAATGAAAAAATTTTGTCTTCAATTCAAATGTACACTTTTATAAAATAAATAAATTATTGAGTGTTTAACAAATCGTGTGGCGTACTGTAATTATAACTAGCTGAAGAGCAATGATATTACGAATGTGTATATTCAAAAATAATATAATATTAAATTTTTATTACAGGTTTGGTTTTGTGATGTATTACTGAGGCCAGGGTTTGAGTTTTACAGAAATTATAAGGTACCTGTACATCGAAATATACAAGTACGTCCATCATCGATTTTTCGTGTTTTTTTAAGTTATTGCAACCATTATTTAATTAATTAAATTGTTTTTCTATACTTATTTATATATAAATATAAAAGGGGTGTATCGATTATATAAACAGTTTGCCAGTAACTGACTCACCAGAAGTGTTTGGGCTTCATTCGAATGCAGATATCACGTAAAATATTATTAATTATTTATATTTTTGGCCTTATAACTAAGGGAAATCATCGATTTAACAATAAAACTATTATCGTTGAACAGACATCAAATAAACACCGCAAAGGGAATACTGGACACTATTTTGAGCGTTCAACCCAAACAGGGTGGAAGTCAAGGAGGCGAGACTAGAGAAAGTGTCGTTTATCATTTAGCCGATGACATGTTAAAAAAGTTACCAAAGCAGTACAAAGACTTCGAGGTGAGTGACCTTCGCGGTTTACCGGTGCACCACGTCCGAAAAATCTTTACCATCGGTATGGTTTTGTGTACGTAGGTGAAAGAATCACTGCAAAGAATGGGCGCCCTGTTGCCCATGAACATATTCTTACGGCAAGAAATCGACCGGATAAAAAAAGTGATCGGAATTGTCCAGAAGACGCTGTGTGATCTGAAGTTGGCCATCGACGGTACGATCGTGATGAGCCAAGGTTTAAGGGAGAGTCTGGACGCAATGTACGATGCGAGGATACCGCAGAAATGGCAGAAAGTAAATATACAATGAGACGCGTTCGATTATAATTATTTTATATTCTTATTGGTCTAACTGTACTGTATAGTCTATAGAGAACAAGTTTTAAAATACTAATAATCACTTGTATGTGTGTGTCATAGGTGTCTTGGGAGTCAGCCACACTTGGGTTTTGGTTCACCGAGTTGTTGGAACGAGACAATCAATTTAGAAAATGGATAAACAACGGTCGGCCGAACGTGTTTTGGATGACAGGTTTCTTCAATCCCCAAGGATTTCTGACCGCCATGAGACAGGTAAACATATTTTCTAAACGTGTGTACTGTACACGATAGTAATAATAATAATAATAATAATAATATGACTGCGGATGATTTTCCAGGAGGTAACTCGAGCACATCGAGGCTGGGCTTTGGACTCAGTGGTGCTTCAGAACTTGATCACGCGCCATAACAAAGAAGAGTTGAGTGACTCACCGCCGGAGGGTGTGTACGTGTGTGGCATGTTCCTGGAGGGCGCAAGCTTGGACCGGAAAACAGGCAAGCTCGTGGAGAGCAAGCCAAAGGTACTATACGAGCAGATGCCGGTCATCTACGTGTTCGCCATCAACACTACCGCAGGCAAGGATCCGAAACTCTACGAATGTCCCATATACAGGAAACCGCAGAGGACGGATCTGAAGTACGTGGGCTCGATCGATTTCGAGACGGACAACAATCCGAGACATTGGACGCTTAGAGGTGTCGCCCTGTTGTGCGATATAAAATAATGTCGTGGGTCACGCGCGTGAAACTGTGTTTTTTTCGATCGATCCAGTGAAGAGAGACGTTATTGCATGTCGATAATGTGCAGGTTTAATAATAATAATGATTATAGCAGCACATCCCGCATACGCACACGATCTACGTCATACCAATAGCTACTATCACATTCAATGGAGTCTCACTGTTCTGCATCCGTATAGTCCGTATAGCATCGTCGAGCTTGGTTTTATACCGACAGTACAATGTGACATATATATCTAGATAATAACAAATACTATAATAATACACAAATACGTTCGATGTTGGTAAATTCCGTCCGTGGCTGATAAAGACATGCAGTAATGACTAATAACAGTTAAAAAATTAAAACACTGGTATATTATGAATGTTTTTGATACTGAAAGTCGTTAATCTATTAATCTTTTTACGTACATTTTCGCAATATTCGTTTCGAAAAATGCTCTCCGAAGGTTCAATGAATGTTTAATAAATCCAGATGTGTATATTTTTCTTATATTCTTACACTCGTGAAAATCTTGAATTTTTGATTTTTTGAATAGTATTATTTTGATATCGATACATTAATACACTACAATACTTATTTCTAGATACTTCATTTACCATTTTATCAAGTTCCATTTCCATGTTAAATGTTGAGAGGTATAGTTCCAAATCCAAAAATTAAACAAATTCAATAGAAACTTTAATATAAATCTGAAATCCGAAAGTTGTTACGAAAATTATACTATCCATAATATAAACATTATAATAACATACTAACATACTAAAATAACATACTAACAAACTTAACATACTAAGAGTGTATAATATGTGAATCAGTAAATCTTGTAACGTTCCTTAAAATAGCATTATATAATATAATAAAAATTTGTCCAACGTATTGATCGCGTTTAGTATTTTTCCCTCTTTCGAATTTTCCAATCGACAATAAAACTCAAGCTAACGACTTTGGCCAAGTTCGAAAAGCCCATCTAACCGACCCCACCAGTATACATAATTACCTCGATATGCCATTATCGTTAATGAAGTTTTTGGTTTGAATATTAAAAGTCCACGGACGGCTTGAAAAGTATAAATTGGAATGTTATATACGTTTTTAACGGCATCTAAAAACTTTTTTTTGTCTTATGGAGTTTACGACGTCGATGAGACTTTATCACATTAATATTAGTTCGCTTAATTACGTAGCATAAGATTAAAGGATTGAAAGTTTATGGATTGGCGGGTTTTGTAAATGTATTAAAATAAATGCAAATTGCCCCGTAAGAACATTGGAAGTGTAGAAACATTATTAATATTCCGAAATCTTAAATGACAACTTTTATATTATCTTTATTTTTCAACACGATCTCACCAAATTTTTGAAGTCGTAGCTAAAACATGTATAAATGAATCTAACTAAATAATAATCTAAATAATTAATGATTATTTTTTTTTTTTTACTATTTTTTTTTCCAGCGAATAATTGATTCATTTCTTACAGTGTCTAATTATTTATAAAATACATAAAATTCTATATATTTTGTATTACTGATGAAAAATGTTTTCAAGATATTTTTATAAAATATAATCTAAAAGCTCACAATTAATGTGTATGTAATGTGTCATTTGTATAATAAGAGTAAATAAACTTTTGTTTAGATTTATATGAATCACAGCTCCGTTTGTAACTGTATTTTGAAAATTTGTTTTAAAACTGATGTAAAAAATGATAACAATTCTATAATTATAAAGTCTGTAACTGTAAATTATCATTTATAAGTACCTATTTAGTTAAAGAATTATTTTATTATAACACAGTGATGATTTGTACTACGTAATATAATGTATTATCAAAATGTACATCGTGATTCTAACATCTAACAAAGTATAAAAAAACCATAAAATTTTGATCATGGCGCAGAAAAATAATCCTATAGCAAAATCAATCATTCAATAAATGTAAATCGTAACGAGGTGAGTTTTAAACGCATTGTTTTCTAGCAATAATAAAGGTGAAAAAAATTTTGCATTAGGTAGAAAATATTTAGAAAACAAACAAAAAATAAATAAAAATAAAAAACAAAACGAAACAAGGCTTTGCACTGTGGTAGATGCAGGAAACCCTCTCGGGTAATATAACATTGCAATTAGTCGCGAAATAAACGTCCGACGATTAAGCGAAAGTTTTTTCGACCTCTCGCGCGTGGGTGTGGTGGAAACGACGTGCACAGTGTACATGTATAAATTCGTAAAGGCTGCCGGTATATGCGTATATGTACAGTGGTAATCTCGGAAACGTTAGCCGCGTCCGCTTAATGACCGTATCGCAAGGGATGCGTTTAAGCACGGACGGCGACGGTGGTTGAGGCCAGAAGGGGGTGGATTCCGATAAATCTACGGTGACGGCTCTCTCCCTCTATCAACCCCCGGTCCCGCGACCATCGACAAACTACTCTACCGTCTAATTCCGTCGGCGGCGGCGGCGGCGGTGGCGAATGTCGGCTTATAATTAGTGGCTAAAACCTACCCGTCCGCCATCTCTCTTTGTGCGGCGGGTCCGTTTCTCTAATTATTGCCGATTAATTACAATACATATTTATCCCCACCGCCTAACGACCGTTTAAATTGCGTTGTTTTTAACCCGGCGCAAGTCGCAGCGGCAGCGGTGATGGCATTAGCAACAGCTGTAGACGGTTGGTGGTGGTAAAGGGGTAAGTGATCAATTTCTTAACCCCCGCCAGCGGCTTTGGTACGCCCGCTAATCTGTTAACGACATAATTTTTTGTGAAGTACGAAACAAAAATACCATTGTATATAATTGTGTATAAACTCTCGAGAAACGTATCCGGAGAATTATGCGCGTTTGACCGCGTCTAAAGAAGGAGATAAAACGCAATTATAAATGTTTAACGTCAAAACTTTATTTTGTGATTAATTTTCACAAGACGAAATGCATTGGCGTGGATAAAATTTTGTCCGATACACTGATAAGACGTTTCAGATCCACCGTTATTCAAAATTTATTAAGAATGTTTACAATGAGTAATTTATATTATTCTCTTACGTTAAATGACCAAGGTTGGTGAATCCCAAACGTCATTACAATCAGACACTGTATAATCATTAATAATTATGACCTCAAAGGGTTTTATTTAATTTCTCAATGTTAACAATACCAAAACAATGTTACAAATTGAAAACCGAAATAAAATCAGCTGAATGTACAACGATATCAATATTGATAAACCAAATGAGTAGAAATTCTAGTTATGGTTCAAACAAATGCCCAGTTGGTCCATTTTGAAAGAGAATACATATAAAAAAGATTGACCTTCGAAAAAGAAATCGAATGTTCAAAAAATGATTATGAATAAATTATATGTTAGTCGATGGAAAAAATTTTGAAAGAATCGACGGTCCAACAATTGAACGTAATTATATTTCGGCAGTTCAGTGAAAACCTATATAACATAATTCAGAAGTCATTAAGACATACGATGATTTGTAAAATTTCTCTTTAAAGTTAATACACATCATTGGTGTTCAAATTAGTACAAATCATCACTTGTATAAGAATTATGTAAAGTAAAATTATCGTGGTGAAATATAAAATTTAATGTTGGTCTAAATCGAATAATTTTAGTATTTGATTTTAAAAAAAAAATGAAATATTTATTTAATAAAATGTCAAAAATGTATCTTTGCTTATAATTTTATACCTCTTGAATATGGTTGTACGATATTTTAAATGTTATTTTATAATAACGAGATGGCGGTATTTTATTCTGAAAAAGAAGAATAAGTCAACAATGTCTATAATCTCAAAAACAACGAAAACTTGTGAAAATATTTCAAAAATATTATGCCAGTTGCCTACATACCAATACGAAATAGCCGAGTACCAAACGATAAATCGTTATTTTTTGACACATTTAATACCCATCATGTATATTATGCGTGTATTATTTAATGGCTGCTAATGTCTGCAAATTAATTAAAAGATCAAGTTTTAGTACAGTCGAAGAATTTTTTTTCGAAAACCATGGCAATCCTATTCGCATTAATTATTATGCGCCTCTTGAAAATTTACAGGAACGGAATATTGTTTACTCGAGATTTAATCTTGTCCGGTACACGCGAGCCGCAACAGTTTCATGATGGATTCAAAGGACCGAAAACAGAAGCACTACGGCGGTGGCAGACCGTTGTGCTCGTGAAAGGATTTGGACCCCAACAATGCATGTGACCCCGTAATAGCTAGCGTATAATAACGTATGAAAGGTCCTATACCTCGTGAACCGGAGGGGGTATTGGTCTGAATAACTTGTAATTTTGTTGACAAGAAGTAATTATGCACACCGAGCGTATAAACTGAAACATCTCGCGCGCGTGTGCGCGTGTGAGTGTGTATGTCTCACGGTTTATAATTAACCCGCCTAGGTCAGACCAAAAATTTGACACGACAAAGGATGCGAAGAGGGTTGTGAGGAAAGCAAAATTAAATACCCGAAGGCCGTTTAAAAGGCTTTTGCCAAAGTTAGACTAGTCCGCATACTAGCGATTTTGTGTTATGTATAGGTAAAATATGTATTTGCCCATGAATCAATGCGGGTGCACACGGTTATTCCGTATAAATCCTTTACGTCTATCCTTTTGTTCGAACCTTTCGGTTAACGTCTAATGAACAAGCCCTCAAAGCAACCCGGTATACTACACCCACCTTGATTAACATACAAAACTTGTTTGAGTTTTTTTTTTAACGTTTTACACTTTTACAGCCCAGAAAATAATATTTAAACAAAAAGTAAACATTTACAGTGGTGGTGTAATAATATTGAAAAATAAGCATTAGACGATCGGGTTCAGTATATGTTTGTAATAGAGGTCGTGATTACACGTGTATTTAACTACACGGATACCCATTTTTTTACCTATGACGGGGTTGAGGGTCCGTGTAATAAAAATACCCGTTTAAAAAACGATACGAAAAATAAATGAATTATAATGTTTTATATTATTCATGTACTCAACTATATATACATTTGTAAACAAATAAAAGTTTTATTTATTAATTGTTGAATTATAATTGTTTTTATTTTATAGTAAATTAACTATCATAAATTCAATTCAAGTAATTCGATTGTCGAATAGAATCAAAAAAATGTAAAAAATAAATGCTTTATTCATTCATACAACTGAATTCTTGTAATCTTTATTTACAGTCATATTTATATGATCAATTCGTACTTGTAAAATATGTTAGGTATTTTTAATAATTTCAACACGAAACGATTTAAAATATTTATATTTGTACCTCCAACAGTTATATAGGTAAGATAAATATTTGAGTAGCACGCTCATTTAGCATATTCCAATTAATATTAATTACATTTCATGTTAATTTCGGTCGCTATGAAAACTGATTTCAAAACAAAATATTTAAAATAAACAAATATATTATTTCATTTATCCTTCAGAAGATGAAGAATAATTAATTATTTTAATCTTTCTTTGACAGGATGCAAAGCTTTGGTTTGTGAATTTTCACTGAGAAAATAATAGATAGGAATAAGAAAACCATTATTCATATAGATAAAAATGAAATAATTCCACACGTCAATATTTCACCGTTTTGTTTCCAACCGAATATGCATTACAGTGCTATGATTTTAAAGCACTTATAGTTTTTCCATCAACATTTTCTCGTATAATTATCATTAGTAATCCATACATATATTTTAAACGTTGTGTAAAAAAATGTGATTGTTGTGCATACGTGAACATTTATTTTATTTATTATTTATTCATAATGATTAACGCTAGTCGGCTTTTATACAAAGTATTTTCATATAAACATAATATTCATAAACATATACATTATGAACTATACAACGCAATGGTTTAAACGAAACTGTGCATTGCGATAACATGTAAGTAAGACAATCTACTACAAAGCACGAAAATGTCCGAATTGGAAATACGATGACTTAAGCGGAACACGCAAAATAAAATAGTCTCCGTTTTTTTAACGCAACGTTCGGCGGGAAAGACAAAATTGCATGCGTATATAAGAGAGAGTCAAATACATATATTCGTGTTCATATCAAATTTTTATTCTTCACATTTGAAAAACAGATCTTCTTGTTTCTGGAGCACGAAAAACAGCGGTAATTTAGAATAAATGGTATCCCGAATTGAACGATGATTGTAGCTGACTGTGAATGAGATTTTGTAGCCAAAATACTTAGAATTTGACGTAGTGAATTTCGTTTTTTCTTTTTTAAGAGAAAAAAAACTAAACGGTTGCGAGACCTGACGTGGTGTAAGGTTGTACTTTTCGGCGCCACCCACGTTCATACGTCACTCTTTAAATCCATCTCCCCGGCTGTCTGATTACCGGGAGTTTTCGCGGCGGTAGAAAAAAAACCGCGCCGGTCGGTGGTGCTTGAAGACGAGGGTAGGGGGTGGAGAAGAAGAAAAATCGGCTCGTCGTTACCCGCAAAAAGTTTAAACAAATCGTAATTCACACCGCTTGCCGCCAGCACCGCATCGTCGAAGGGATAAACCACTGTTCGAAAATATCGCTGAACCGGCGGCAGTGCTCCGCAGCTGCATATTCGGGTATCGGCGCGTAATCCGAAAGAACGATAGCTGCGCGAGTAAACATCACGTGAAATATACGTACCAAAATGTACGGCTGGTATGGCAAGGGTTGTAGCGGGGAATAAACGTCTACCATGCGTTTTTTATTATTATCAATGTTGTTTAACAAAAGTCAACCGTCACCACCGACCAACGCGCGAGTATAATGACACTTCTCTGCCCGTCCGACGGTTCTGTGTAGTGTACATAAATGCACATTCATTCTAAAACTTGTGAGTGGTAAAACTATTTATACTAAGTTGATCCGTGGGGGGTGAAGATTCCCACACTCCCTTACATATACCGGGAAAATAATGTTAGGTACCGTTTGACTGTGAATTTAACTATTGTCTATATTCCATCTAAATAGTATTAATACATTTTTATAATAAATAATATTTCTTTTATTATTTATTATTTAAATGTGCAGGTACTTAGGTTTAGGAATTTTCCTTCCATAATGATTTGTTTGCAACTTATCCCCCCTCCCTCATACAAAAATTATGTATACACCACTGCATGTTGACATAGGAATTTTGATCTCTGCTGTGGAAAGCAGACCTACCTTACAGAATAAATCTCAAGACCTTTACAAAGATAGAAATGGAACCAAAAATGCTTGAGATGAAATTTATGTTCATTGTTTTATTAATTGAGTGTACCCGGTAAATACTCGTACGATTGTTACGTCGTTTTCGCAATCGTTACAAAAATCATATGGCAATGATGCATTTTAAATTCAAGTTGAAAGTCAACTGAATAAAAAGTTTAAAAATAAAATATAACTAAACATAAACGAATCGATAAAAAAAAATGCAGTGTATGAAACAACGTCCGTTCGGAAAAAATTCGTACGGATTTTAACAGAACGAACGAAAACTTCATGTGTGTGAAACGGGTTTAACTCATAAAAACACAACTCATAAAATTATATATAAATAGAGTTTGTGCATTATTATATTGATTGCGATTATGATATTATGTACGAATATATGCTAATTTAGCTATATAAATTTTATTTAACCGAGTGCTTGTAATATAATGATATTTAAATATATGACTCGTACTATAGACAATAATCTACGTAAAAGTGAAGTAAAATAATAGTCCTTATGGTTGAGGATGTTTAAAAACAGATAGATTTACAGTGGCTTGTTGAATCCACCTAAAAATATAAATCCAGACATGATACCTATTATATGACAGCAGTATTTGTGTACGCGGTACAACATGATACGAACTGTACACTGCGTCTTCTCGATTGTCAAACCACACCCGTTGGAAGTACTACGCTAGCAATTATTTTAATTTAATTTTTTTTCTTTTCGTTGTTTACCGACGGAACGAACCTGTCGCCTGGATACACACTGCACGCAAACATAATCCATTATAATCCTGTAGTTGAAAAACGCAGCTGTTCCGTAGCAACTCACAATCCGTGAATCGATAATTTTGAGAAAAAACTCCTAACCAGTAAGCAGCTCACTCATTAAAAAAAAAAAAAAAACTCCTACCCATACCGTCAAGACGAAACAATAATATATTATCATTTTTTACACGTCGAGTAGTTTTCATTTAGCGAACGTCTCATTTGTATATCGGTCGGATTTGGAACGGGCGGATGGTTATGCGCTATGGAAGAATTCGCGGACATTAAAGAAGACGAGAACAAGAAAATCCTACACACCTATCCGCTAGTACGAGTAAGTCCAAGGATAAAATAATCCTTGTATAATGTTTTTGTTCATGGGTTATTGAGTTTACTATACATCAATACGATTATTTGTATCAACTTAATGGGTGTCACAACTGTGCAAGTACAATCCGTCGTTTCTATAGACTCGCGTGTGAACGTTTCCCGACAATAATTTTTTATGTATAGGACGTGCGCAAGAGGCACTAAGTTGGTAATATTTATTATGTTTGTATTTTTTTATCGATGTGCTTGTTTATACTTTAGGTGTGCGATATGTCGGAAGAGATGAAAACCGAAACAATTGAAGTTATAATAACGGCCTGCGACAAATTCGGAACCGATTACTATGTAAGATTCCAAAGATTTTTTATTGTTTAATTTTTTGAAATTTTCAATAATGTTTTTTACGCTCTGAGCGAAACCAGAATATTGTAAGTTTCATAACAAAACTCTATTATTTTTAAATCATCTATGCGTTATACTTATTACTCTATGTGATCTAATTATTAATTGATAAATTTAAAATAATATAATTTTCTTCTAAAATACGATAAATGTTTACTTATGGTAATTTCGATTGATACAATTAAATAACAATAAATGCTGATGTTTCTATTGTGCTTTAAGTACTTATATTACTAATCTATAATGTGATTATAAATTTAATTTTATTTAAATTAGAATTTAATTTGAATAAATAAATGAACCTATAACAATATACAACATATATTAATTTCTTTATTGAAATTACATTAATTATTCTTGATTTGTACAAAAAAATATTATTTTCAATAATATTATCCTTTGAATACGTTGGTAGTATCTACGTTAGTAAAATACAAAATGTTTAACAGATTAAAGTTAAAAATGTCGACACTAGTTAACTAGTTACATTTAAAAAAAAATGGCCGCATTGACACTCATAAAAAAAAACTAATCATCCGACGCGACTCATAGCATTCCCAACCGTTTTGTGAACGTGCAATGTATAATATACAACAATTGTGGTAGGACTTTTGTTTTCATCACGCCCGCATAAATGTTCGTATTTTATACCACATGGACTGCGTAAAAATGTACATCCCGCTATTATCATACATGGTTATTTTTATAATCAAAGTGCGTTATTGCAACTGCGGTGTAGTTACGAAAACTATATACTCATAACTATGCATAGGTTTTACAATTCACACCAAATTATTTCCCACAGTCGTCGGCCAAGGCGATAAAGCAGATGCTGGACAAGAAATACGGATCGCCATGGAATGCCGTGGTCGGAGAGGCGTTTGGAATACAGATGACGCACCAGTCCAGCACGCTGATGTACATGTTCTTCGGGGGCAATCTGGGGATTTGCGTTTGGAAAATTTGATCGTTTTCACGTTGTTCAACTGATGCATGTTTGGGATGCATGATTGCATGATGAATGCAGTGCAGTGGACGTATTTCTCAGAACAGTGTTTTCTTCGATAATTTTAGGGTTGAAATTTAAAAGTCAAGAGGTTACGGAATGAAAAAAAAAAGTGTTGAATAATATAGTTGTCAGAGATAAAAAATATTCATAATGTTCTGCGCTATGTTATAATATTAAAACGATTGTCATGTATGATTATATCGAGCGTACGAAACATCCGACAACCCATATAAGGCGTTGCGAATTCATAATTCTATTGTATAACGTTCGATTTATTTTTCATATATTTATGTTATAGTTAATAAGTATAATATATTTTGGTTTATGTTATTCATAATCATGAAAACTATCCTTTATAATATAAAACTTTTTGAATTTTAATTCAAATGATAATTTTTATGTTGCAATCTTGTTCAAATTGTTTACAAAAAACATCATTAACATGGTGTATTACAGTAAAATATACGGATAAAATAATTCAGTGCAAATTATTTCAAACCACTAGGGATAGTCACATGAATGTATCAAAATTGCATATATAGAACGCCGTAATTTAAAAATGCTTTTTTATTTCTATGCTTAATTTTATCCGATATTACATTATTAAGTCGATACAATTTTTTATTTAAAATAAAAAATGTAATAAATACAGATTTATATTGTGTACATATATTTTACATAAATAGCAAATAAGATGAATAAAACGAAATAAGTTTACATTTTTACATTCATTGTTCCGGATTGTTATATTTATTGAATCTTGTAATTTTGTAGCTTGATCACTATTGACGATGAATAGTAAACAAGCTTTTACAAATGTTACACTAGTATGATTTCAGCTAATAGCATTTATTATGGGTAATGCACGGTAAAGGTTAATCGGAAAATACATATATTAATAGAAATGTTTACCCGTGCGTCTAGTAAAGTAAGAATAAATAAAAAAAAAAAAATAATCATATGATTTACATCATCGTTAGGGTTAGAAAAATGTTTAAAAATGTATATTGATACAGGGAGGAGCGTTTGGTATATTTAGGTCATATATAATCAATGTGATGGTGAGCGAAAGAGTGTGAATATCTTTGTTTTTCTGTTATTCGCGTTCATATATGGATAGTTATTAACAATGATGATGATCTCAAAATCGGTAATGTGTTTTCCAATTAGAAAACCGTTTCGTAATCTTAAAAATATATATTACACGAATACACGAACACTGCCGGCGATTTTTTACGTGTTCCTGTGACGACATAACTTCGTTACTCTAATGTGCATGCTGTAGATTCAATCCAACTTGAATAGACTAACATCTGAATCGGAAAACATTATAGAAATCTGTATGAACATAATGTCCGCAGTTGAGATGCATTAGAACGAAACGATCCTAAATAACCCGATCGTGAAAGTTAAAAGTAGAAAAAATGGGCGCTCCGAGATAAAATTGTTTTGAAAGATAAATCCATCACATAAGGTATCGCAAAGGTCTGAAAACACCGGTTTGTTTTTATAGACCTCTATGTACGATAACACATTGTTCGCGAGATAATTTTTTTAGTTAAAATAAAACATAAGTACAGTACACCGTCGTAATACACATTGTAGTATTCCTTGCCAAATGATATCATTTCGAATCGTTTACCAACCGTCTGTATAGAAATTTTGTACTCTATACTGATACAATCCGTATATTCTTAAATTCGATGGGTTAATTTTTCGTTGGTTTTGATCACTTCTAATTATGGCCGATGGTAGGGTATCATCATTTAAATTAATCGCTATAAGTAAGATTGGGATTTGATAATATCGATAGAAAGAGTGGGAGCTTTGATTCCAACATTTTTTTTATAAAATTTAAAGAAAGAAATATATAAAACGCAGACTTAATAAAAATATATACGAGTTCAATTATTTTTTTATGTACAATAGCTTTTTTATATTTAAAAATAACAATTATAGTGTTATAAATTTAAAAATAAAAACTGTTGATTGTTATTTTATTACATGTCAACCCAATACCATAAGTTTAATTAATTTTTTTATAAAATATACTCTTTATTGTATGTACAGTAGAATGCATTATACGTTTTTGCACGTTACGATAGTAAATAATTGAAATAAATTTAATATTTTTTAAATCATCTAAAGGTAGAGAATATCACTTTTTGTATCCACGCAAATGTTTATTGCCTTATCAGAATCCTTATACTATTTTATTGCCAGATGACTAACGAATAATGTAGATTTGAAAAAAACTGTTTACACCAAAATAAGCGTGTCTTGTATACAGCTAATATCTGACCATTGTCATTTCCCATTTCATGTAACATACAAAACAACGAAATAACAAAAACTATTAAATTGGGTGCTCCTAAATGATTTCCAATCTGTTGAACAAACTAACTGCAACGTTAGTTTCTGCACTTGGGAACTTACAAAATACACGCACAAGATCTGATCGTAGTAAAATTATGAAATACGTATATGCGAGAGAAAACGAAGAACACAACACGTGGCGTCGTTGTCGTTGGAGGGAGGATAAGAAAGTTTTCGTCGGCAAAACGCAATAGTAATAATAATAATTAGTAGTTGAAAGATTAGCACCCGAGCCGTGTAATATTGTCGCGCACGACTTGATTAATGGGCACGCGTGTCTCGTAATTATACACGCACGCGTAATAACAGTAGTAACGCAAAATGCACCCTGTGTAAATGCTGGTGGAGGTGGTGTTGCAAATTACGTATTATGTTATGCAGGGTGTGCAGTATAGAGACAACGGTCCGCAGTGATTACAGACGAGTCAAGGAAAGCGTGTTCATTACGTTTTCTAAAAATCTAACGCAATTTTTACACGTTCAACCGTCCGGAGGATTCGGAGAATATCCATCATAATGCGAAACTTAACTGAATAAGTCACGCACCGGTGTACCCTTTTTCGGGGATAGGGAATAATAATACAACGTGATTAGAAATTGAAACGTTTGTCAGAAGCTCGGAAGCGTGATAGTTCCGCTACGAGTCACTCTGAAAACGCGTAAAAGAGAATAAGAGCTCATCCTAGAATACGACTCCAGACTAGCTCACCGTAATGGGTTTTTCGTATTCTGTATCGATGTACCCATAGGTTATTAATAATTTATTTCGTTTCCTGCACGATTTCCCAAAAGCACCTTGGTCTGGAATTTCTAATTGAGTGTGTTTAACGTCCAAGCGTCGATTTAATATTATTTCAATGAGTAATTGTTATGTTGATTGCTCCCAACATTGGACAAAGTTCTAAACTGTTTTCGTCGAGGACAATAGAGAATTACTAACCGGTAGTATTCTCGAAAAATGTTTGTGTATTGTTAGATATAGTACACAAATAACGTATAGGAATATAATAATAATATGTATAATAATTTTTAGTTTAAAACCGCAAGTAATTAACGCTATCGTAAACGATATCTATACACGATATAGTGCCACGACCAACCGAAATTTCACGTATTAATTAGGGGGGGGGGATGTAGTTCACTCCTCCCATTAAGAACTACCTATTTATCTAGTCGGCAATTGTGAACAAATCAATTAATATCAGTAATAAGGAATTTTGTTTTCGAAAATTGTTAGCAAATCTGTGCACACATAACCCTCTCCGGCCTCATCAATATTTGCTAGCGACAGCCCTGCGCATATCTCGTTCACCCTGTACATGCACGGTCGAAACACAACAGCGTCGCTCAAATACGTAGTGCGCGCGAACGTGAACGTTTAGATGGGGAAGAAGCACCGTACGATAATTATTGCTGGAAGGTGTGAGCGTTCCCTCTCTCGCCCTTTTCGCCCACCCCTCGTATCTCCACCGTGATACTACTCGAACACACCCACGTGTACACGCGCGAACACAAACACACACGTGTGTCCGTGTATATTAATAATGCAACAACGATATATAATTTGTGATTCGTCGTCGTAATTTCTCGGCGAGAGTTTCGCGCTGGCATCCCTCACGACCGCCGCCCGGAGTTTATGGCCCAAGTTTTGACCGGCTGGCGCATCGCCGCCGCCGCCAAAGTGTCCGGACGGCAATTAATTCGATGAATAACGACCGTTCGGCCGTGTGCGCGCACGTCCCGAGGACCTTTCGGCGCGATAGTTATTGCCGTTATGGTTCCGCCGAGCGACCGCCATCCGGTGCACACGCACACACACCCGGTGCACGGAGTTCGTCATCGCCGCGGTCCCGAACCCGGACGATGGAACAAATCGGCATTTATGAGTACATTGCTGGAGACCCGTGTAAAGAAATCGATGGCGCTCGTTGGTCGCATCGCGTTTGCGATGATATTATGAAATCATTATCGATTTACGACGTTTTCTACTTTTTTTTCCAAACTTTTTAAATCGATTTGATGACACGGTATGAGATACTTACGAACACGTGATTCCTATTGCCTATTTGGAACACTCAAAAAAACGTTCCAATGTACAGATTTGAAAAGATCACAAGAACACCTTTTGTAAGTTATTTGTAATTATTTTATTACAATGTATTAACATTTTTTTTTTTTTTTTTTAGGATTAGGTTGGAATGGCAGAAATGTAATGTTTGATATGTTCAAAAAATATTTATTGAATAAACATCGTCATCTTTGATTATTTCGTTTTTAAACGAGGCTGGACAAATAATTTTTTAAAGTGTATGTAAAATTATAATAATCAAATTAATTTAAGTAATAATTTTAATTAGTAAAAAAAAGGAATTGAAAACATTGAGTATTGTTAATTTTATAATGTCATCACAAACATAAAATAACTAATGAGAACCATCGATTTCCTATGGATCTTTTGCAATACATGGTATGCTGATATGCAAACGATGGATCATCGGGCGAACGGTCGCATGTGTACGCGTCACAAGGTTGCGTATTTTCAATCTCGGCAGGAAACCTCTTGGTTTCCTCGATCATACATAGAATTAATTTATAGATTTCGTGGATTCTTAACAGTTAAGACAAAATATGATATCCAAAGCTCTTTCCTATTCACTACCATATTCCTGAAACGGCTTGAACATGAGTTCATAAAAATAGCTATCGTCAAACTCGCCTATATCCAGAGCCATGCCTAGGGAGTTGTGAAGAAGTGTATGCACCGGGTGCCATGACCACTCGGGCGCTAAGAGACTTTTCATAATCTAAGTAATTATACTGAAATTCAACCATATTATTTAATTCATAATATTTAACATGTTCAATGTCATGGTGTCGACACGTAGTCGACATCATTAACATCATCCTGATTGGCGGTATTTCAGTTTATTTTTGGTATTGATATTTATTTTTTTATCGAAATTACGATGTCGTCGATAACAAATTAACAATACTTCATCATTAATTAATTGAATAACATTAATATCATAAAAGAATATCGACTTGAACGAGTTGTACGATTTTATTTCGAACGAACAATTTGAATAGATAGGGGAGGGTGGGTATAGTTGTTACAAGGGTTAGTTACAGTTTAATTTAATAAAAAAGTATTGATGGTACCACTGCATAATCAATACGGAGATAAAATGCACATCTACTAGTTAAATATTTTCTGTTTCCGTTATCATAATCTATACTGTATTCCAGTTATCATGTTTTTAGTGAATGTTGTACTTCAAAATTATATTTTATGATTTACATCTGATTGACTTAAATAGATATTTTTAATGGTAAATTATTTTAGATACATTCAATTAATTGTTCCGCTCATAGCGTACAATTAAACTTCTAATGAGTAACGTAAGATTAGTTGGTTAAGTGATAAGATAGGTTATACTAAAATGTGTTTACTGGGGCTAGTTATTACATTTAAATCGGTACACATTGTTACAGTGTAACATCTTGCCCCAATTTGCATATTACTGAACCAAATAATATTTATTGGCAAATAAATAAATAAATAAATAAATAATATATTTGCAGATAGTTCAAATAATTATTTTATTTTTAGCAATCAATAATGCAGAACTCTATTAAGAAAACCAATAGGGGGATGGTTTCAAAAATAGATATGGATGCTGCAGCGGAAGAAGTGATGTATTTAAATTACTTAATTTTTTTGCAATTTATAATTTTTCAACAGTTTTTTCAAATATATTTGCCAAAACATTCATCACAAAAAATACCAATTATTATTATTATGTTCCCCATAAATTAAATTTAAAATAATATCTAAATTAAGCAACTTTGAAGCATTGATTAAATATACTTAACTTAAATATAATATTTAATCAATGGTTAAAGTAATCAAATAGCAAATAAAAAAAAAAAAAAAGGCTAAGCATTAGAATCATAGATTTTAAAAATATTATTTAGTAATTTATTTTATAAATATCATGTATTTTAAAGTATGTGCTTATGTCATTTATGCATACATTCATATTTACAGTTTGTACATAATATATTTTTTTTCTTCGAATTATAATGTAAAATTAATCGTATTTTTTTAACTTTCATATATATATTTATTTCGCGTCGAAAAATTAAATTAATTTTTGTACTAGCATTCAGTACGAAGATCGGCTTTCTCATTCTAAAAGAAGATGGTTTTCTTCCAGCCATTGAACGAATAATAATATTTTATGGATCTTAATTTATATTTCAATCAACTTGCCCTTATATTCATATTTTTAGAATCTTGGTAATTGTTGAAAAAATAGGATCACTGAATTATTAATATCACAATTAAAGACATAAAATACTACTAATGTTGATTAGATAAATGTTTTGCATTTATATTTTAATATTTGGCTTAATCGAGATTAATATTTCACCAACAATAATATTAAAATATAATTGAAAATTATATTTTCTTGACAGTATAAATCTAAGAATATGAAAATATTAAAAATAATAATATAAAATAGCAACATATAATGTGGATTGTTCATGAATATCACGTTTTAAAATTTAATGAATGACATGCACGGGCAGAGACAACACGACTTAAATAATGAGTACCCAACACAGATATACAAATGTTAACATTTAAATTATTCCGTCTTTGGTTAAAACGCGTCATTTTCTGTTTGAAACAATATCAATTGTTAGTTTTATTAACAGAATAACACAAAGTTCTACAAGACTTTAAATATAAATTATGATAAATAAAAATTATATTACTTATATACATTTTTATTACAATACGACAGTGATGATTAAAAAAGTTAATATTTTCTGTACCGTTTAAAACAAAAAACATAGTCATTTACTTTTATTATAAAATCAAAAACTGTTGGCTAAAAAGTGTTATTATATTATATTAATCGTATTTACAATTTATAAATAACATTACATACATAACATGCTATGGATTTCAATTATATTTGTTTATTGTTGAATCTCAACATTGCATTTTGTCATTCGTCGTTCAGCAGTATCCAAGTATTGTAACCGACAACTTAAATAGAAAACAGAATTAGCAGCTACTGTTATAAGTAAGTATATTTATAATAATATTTTGAATTAAAATTAGATTCGATCTACAGAAGTTATGAACACACGGAAGTAGTCTTTTTCTAACTTTTTTCTCACTTCAACTACCGGCCCACGGCGAGCAACGTCAAACAAATCATCCTATCATAGGAGAGAGATGTGGGGCACACGTGTCGAGTCTTTTACTAGCGAGAACAACACGAAGTATAAGTTGTCTTCATCGGAATCGTATTGGCAAACCCAAAATCATTTATCGTTAAATGTACATATCATCAAGGATCTTCAAGGATTACAACGAAATTTTACAATATAATTTTCATAAAAAACGTTTCCTTTTATCATTTTACATCGTATACCCGGAAGGTACATAAAATATTTCGGATTTATGAATACGATAACAAGAAATATTGATATATAAGTTCCAAACTATCAACAGCTAATGACAACTTATATAAATATTAACTATTTTATCATTTTTTCGTGCCATTGTCCAAAACATGTTTGAATTCAACCATAGTAACATAAAATTTTTTTTTGTTTAAACCATTGTTCTAATAAATGAAAAGCAGGATAAATTAAGAAAATTAATGGACCTTAATAAAGTAACAGAATACTAATTATATGCTAGTTGACTTACATTAGGAGTTATGAAAAAAGACATTACATTGATCTTAAAACCTATTTAAACTTCTTAATCTGGCGCAAATCATGTAAAAACTTCATTACTAAATGTAATTGTAATTTACCAAAGTAACACAAAGACCTTATATTAAAGTGTAAATTATAACTTTTTCAGATTCTCATAATCTATTTAGACTATTTGATAATAGAATACAATAAATGAGTGCTTCCAACATGATGAGTGAAATCAAAACAGACAAACAAATCAAGAGGTAACACATTCGAATTCATTCCAAACATGTTTTATATTTTAACATTGAAAAATAATTTATTATTATTTTGAATGAATCTTAATAATCATAAATTCATTTTTAAATTATTCTTTTTAAGAAATTCTAAATTATTGTGATTAACTTATCAAATCAATATAGGACTGAGGAATATCCCATGATTGTGGAAAGTTATGTGCCTGAATGTCCAAATGGAAAAAGAGAAAAAAAAAGGATTTGCAAAGCTTTACCTAAAGATGGGTATGATCAAATACTTAAATATTTTATAGATTTAAATTTTTAAATATTTAACTAAATGGTTACTAATTATTACCTTTATATCTGACTATAATAGTAATGTATGCCTTAATGTTTAGAAATAACGGAACTCAACAGAAGAAGTTGAGCAAAAATACGGCAAAAAAACGTAAACGCGCTCAGCAAATGGAATCAACCACAAGCGTCATTGAGTAGAGTTAATTTAATTTTTTTAAAATTCGTTTACCTAAATTCATTGTTATTCTACAGAACGGTGACTCAGTATGAAAGTCTACCGAAAAATACTAATTCAAAAGTGGTACCAAATGAAATTATCAATTCTACTGATGGACCTCATAATAAGTATTTATTATAAAATAATAATTTAGTGTACAAAAAATATTTTTTTCGCTAACACAAAGCTTCTTATGATTACTATTTTGTTTTACTAAACCAAATTGTATAAATCTATATCCATTATATTTTAAACTTAACTTAAATCTAGTGGTCAAACAACATCGAATAATTACAAGTCTTCAGATCATAATGGAACCAAAAATGTTGAAATAAAAACTAACGTGATTATAAGTACAGATAAAAATGAAAAGGTTTTGGAAGATTTAAACGTGCCAAATATCCAAACCAAAGAAAATGGAAATTGGTATATTATTATTTATAACAAATGCATTTATGATTTATTCTATTAGTGCCACCGAATTTTTATTTGTTAACAAATAATTGTTTATGTTTTCCAGTGTAATCAAAGAAGTTGACGAAAATCTGTTCAATTTACCTAGAAACATTGCTCTAGCCCATTGTATTGCAGAAGATTTACGTATGGAAAGAGGAGTCGCGGTTCAATTCAAGTAAAACTATTTTAAATTTACATTGATTAAAACAATAATTATTTTTCTCGCTATCTAGACGTTATTTTGGAGGCATTGGTCAACTTATGGACCAAAAACTTACCGTAGGCGATGTTGGAGTGGTGGTTAAAAACGAAACAGAATATGCTTTTTATCTGGTGACAAAAAATTATTGTAACGGCACGTCGACAATGTTATCATTGTCACATGCATTAAAGTCGCTTGTAGAAAAAATGCAAGAAAGGAAAATAATCAAACTAGGCATTCCTCAAATTGGCTGTGGAACAGATGGATTGGAGTGGTCAAAAGTTAAACCACTTATTGAAGATATTTTTGCCGGATCCGGAATTGAAATAACTGTTTGTGTACCAACAAAAGTAAGTGTTGGAAATAACAGAATATTTTATTGTTTTCATAATCATAAACCTATTTTAAGATATTCTATCGTCCATCACCACCTCAAATGAAAGTGTATATAACACCTAGGAAACTATTGGAAATTAATAACAAGCTAAGTGACTTATTATTACTGATTGATATTGAACAAATAAAATCAAATCATTTGAAAAATGGCTTGGTAGATGCTGTAAACTTAGAATATCCTTCTTTCAAAGAAAAGTAATTATTTTACAACTGTATTACATTATTTTAATTGTTGTTAGCTAAATATATTATAAATAATTAAAACAAAAATAAAACGTGATCATCAGTGCTGAGCACTCTTAACAATGATCTAAATGTAATTCGTACGTTTTAAATCCTCATTTTATTTTGTCCGACCATAGATTAATGAAGGACATTAAAACTAAAGCATTGAAGCCTGGTGACGTTACCTCTTATTTTATAAAGAAAGAAAATATACACTGTTTATTCACTAGTCAGTCAGCATATTACAGTTCACTAGAAAAAGGATTTTTAACAATAAAAAACTACGTAAGGAGAACTTATAGGAACTTTGCCATTCAGAGTGGTCCCATAAAACCAACTGCATACTTTAAGCACATATCAAGAATTGTGTTATTGTTGCGTTCAATAATTTATGGATCAGAATTATGGTTATGCGGTGATAGTGATCAGACCAACGAAAAAGAAGTGTACGAGCACTATTGTAAACAAGTTTTTGAGGAAATTAGACTTTCAACAAAGTCAAAAGATAGAAATAATCTTCAGATAGGCAAAAGAAATAATCCACCGAAAATTAATTTGCAAAGAAAATAATTTTCGAAAATCCATAAGAAAAAACTTACACGATTTATCAAAATACTAACACAGTTGTGCATTTAAACGAATAATAAATTATTTAAATTATAGCTTATCATAATAGTTAAATTTTTGGAATATTTGTAGTACACATTAGTTTTATAAACATAGAAACACAAGTATACGATATTGTTTTTGCATTATATTTCGATTTCACAAAAAAAGTTATCCACTCAATATAAAAATTTAAAAATTGCGTTGAGTGTAAAATATAGGTTTCCATTTCGTGAAATGGAAAAAATAAATGTCCATTAGATGAACCTAAAAACGACTTACGCGATATGATCTTAGTTCATGAAATAAATATATATTTTGTGAAAACTACGATTACACTAAGTGGACTTTAGATGATACATTTGAGAGTTAGAGAAAAAAAAAATTCCAATATTTTTTTGCAAAAATTCCAAGTAGATTCTTGATCATGTGGCAATACTACTCGTATTTATGATGATACGAATTTCTAAATTGGTAGTTCATTTAACTTAGACACAAAATATCGGAGTAATATTTTCCATGTTCTACGAAGTTTTGGTTTTATTAAATTAACGTTTCGTACGTTTTATGTTAGAAGAAACAAAAATTAACATATTACAAATCACAAATAAAACAATTGTCATGTCTAAGAAAAAATCAAATATGCAATATGATTTTTAGCATTAAATACTCATTTCATAAAATTTGAGATTAAGATAAGCAGAGTTTTTCATCAAGTATTGGCTAGCTACTTGTTTTAATATTTAAATATTGTTATCATGTTCACTCGGGTTTTCTAATCTTTGAACAGCAGTTTTAAGAAATTAGATGACGGTATTCGATCGTGTAAGGAGTTGCAGTTTTAAAGACTAATGTTTTGTTTCGGAATCTGAAAATTACGTAAAAATAGCTATGAGTATACTTTCATTTAACTGTTTAAAAACACTTTTAAATTATCCAAGAAAATTAATATTTTGTTTTAAAAAAAAAAAAAAAAAAAAAAACCATTATTCTTCCCCCGTGCTACGTGTCACTACCGAGTATGGAGTCCGGAAACATATTTCAACAGCTTGATTAGTTTCGATTGCCAATTATTTCCAAGTGAAATGTACATTGATAGTAAAACATTTCTGCGACACGGAAAACATTTATTAAAACGTGTAGTTGACCAAAACTTTACACTAATAGCAGTCGTGGTAGAATTTGCGACGAAATAATATATTTCCAGTCGTAATCGTAACGATTTAAATCGCTTGAAACCTATAAAGGCACGTATCGGGCGTACAGGTTTGTCAACTCCATGACGAGTGCCACTTTGTCATATACATGCTTCGAGTTAAATAATCATAAATAAACCGAATACGTATATACCTTACATGAAAATTATTAAAACATAAGAAAAATTGTAATGTATTTCATATATTCACTATTATGAGCTTAAAAGATGAGCTTAAAAATGTTCTTGATTTAGTAATTAAAATGGTAAATTATATTAAATCAAGAGCTCTTAAAACACGAATTCTCAAAAAAATGTGTGAAGAAGCTGGTTCTCGTTATGAAGTTTTAGGTTTTACATACTGAAATTCGATGGTTATCAAAAGGTAATGTTTTAAACAGATTTTATGAAATGAAAAATGAATTGTTGCAATTGTTCAATAATGAAGACCCAAACAGCGATTTCATAACTCAATTAAATAATCCATTATAGTCTGCAAAACTTGCTTATCTAGCTGATATTTCTAACCATTTAAATATCCTTAATTCCAATATGCAAGGTAAAGATGAAAACATATTAACATCGTCTGATAAATTAAATGGGTTTTTACAGAAAATTAATCTTTGGATATCACACGTAGAAAAAAACAACTGCAAATGTTTTCATTAACAGCAGATGTTGATCCAGATGAAGAAGTAACATCTGATTTAATAATAAATCATCTTAAAATTTTAAAAGAAAAAATGACAAAATATTTCCCATCTTTGGTTTTTAACGAATATGATTGGGTGTGCAATCCTTTTGCTATAACATCAGATGTAATATCACATCTAGTTGAACAAGAACAACTTTTGGAACTTCAATCTGATCGTTCATTGAAATTAAAATTTAATGAACTTAAACTGTTTCAATTTCGGAGTTTTATTAAAATTGAGTATCCGATAATTACAGAAATTGCAATAAATATATTATTACCATTTTCTACAACATATCTCTGTGAACTTGGATTTTTCGCACTGACAAATATTAAAAATAAGAAACGTGAACGACTTTTATCAGTTGAACAAGAAATGCGAGTGTGTTTATGTTGATTGTTGGTGTTTAAACAAAATCAAGCACACGTTTCACACTAAAATTTATAATTATATATTTTTTTTTATAATTTTAAAATTAATTTTTGTGTTAATTATTTTTATTTGTATTATATATTTTAATATTTTGAAAAAAATCATTTTATGTTTTTTTATAAAAAAAAGTTTAAGTTGTCGCGGCACACCTTTCAAATTTTACGGCACACTAGTGTGCCGCGGCACACCCTTTGGGAAACACTGGTATAGAGTGTAAGGAATGAGCACACATAAAATGTGTGAATAATGATGCACATTAAGTTTGCCATATTTACAATTCAGATATATTCGATGATAAGCTCAGTGACGACGTATTCAAAGACTGAAATTTACAAATATGATCTTATATTGTTAATTTATTTTTTTATAATTTATAAAAGTATTTTTGTCAGACGATAAGTCAACATTTTAAAAGTTTTTAAGTTTATTTTATTTAATTTTTTACTATTAATTATATATAAAAGTATTTAAGTCGTCTAAAATATAATCTACCATTAATTTTATTATATTATTATGTTTTACAATACAATTTAACAATTTTTAAATAATGTAACAAATAACCCTCCGTTTGTATCATCTTACCCCATTCGGGGGCAATTAGTTACAAAATGAGTTAGTGAGTTTGACTTAAATTTTTGGCAAAACTATTTGTTTTTAAAAATTCATTTTTATATAAAAATATTACTTGTTATGTTATTTATATGTTATTAAATTTTCAGAAATTGTTTGTAGAAAATGAACTAGTTACAAATAAATATTTATATTTTGTAACAACTATATCCTACCTAATTATTTTTCATCGGCAATAATTTAAAGATAAGTTATTTTTTGTGCAATTGATTAAATTTGATTTATAAATAAATATACCGATTTATGATGATAGGTTATTATTCTTCTTATATGTTTTGTTTTATCTATACAGTTCGAGTTATAATAATTATTTTGTTTTTTAATTGTTGATTATTTATTTTATTAATTTAATAAATACAAATAAGTAGTTTTATATGACTCCCTATTTTTATGTCATCTCCTCATAGCCTATAAGTATAACAATATTTGGTAAAGGGAAGGCTCTACAAAATGATTCTAGGCACCGGGCGCTAATTATGCTAGGCACGGCTCTGCCTGAACTCTAAGATTTGAATTGTACTTATTGGTTCAGATATGCATAGAATTAATAAAATCAAGATCACTGACATTGTATTTGTTCGTAAACACCAATTAGTAGGTTAACCGATGACAAACATCATAATAAATATAACTCATATCAACATTATGTTTAATAAATATATTTTATTATCTAAATTATTTTTACATATTTTATGTACCAGTACAAATCGCTTGAATGTATCTCGTTACATTACACGAAAAAGCTGTTTATTCATCTAGAAACGTTATTATAATACGTACAACAATGATTTATCAAATGTACCCCAAGCAACTTTGTATACATACAATCGATATTCTTTGTTAAACCTGACCTGTCTTTTACATGCTGAAGTGTACAATTCACCGCAGATGCATTTCGTTTATAAATGTTGGTAGTTGGTAAAGTATTAGAATGTCTTGGAATTTAAATCAAAACAATTCTTGTAATAATATCCATGTCAATATGCATGGATATATAAAAGATAATAATTTTTTTCAACATTTTAATATTTGAAATGAAAACACAGAAATGTAGTTCTTTTGAGTTAAATTAATTATGTACAGAAAACAAGTATTGTAAATATACCAAGTATTTAACTCTAGTGCGTACATAAACAATGAGTGATGTCTTATATGATTATAACGTAAACAATATGACGAACAATATTACATAGTAGATGGTATAATGGAAAGGTTGAAAAATATTTTCGCTTTCTGTAAATAATTAAAAAGAACGCGATTAAAAATACAAAATGTTCATATTGAACGCTAGTCTAGATTTTAGAATCGAAAAAGTTAGGAACTAATATTCTTTAGCGTATAAGATTTTAAATAATAAGGTGGAACAATAATTACTTAAAAATTGGTAAAGATAATATATGAAACTAAATTTTCATGAAATATTCGTCGGTTAACAGTTATCAATATTTATCAATAGTTTTAAATAATTATTTAAAAAAAATCGAATAACATATTTGAAATAAAAAATCATTTTTCACTGAATCGTATTCCACAGTTTTGGTTCAGTTTATAGTTAATGAAATAAAGCCAAAGTTAAAGTATAGTTTTAAATACAATATTTAAATCTTAACTTTAAACTATACACTATAATTAAACGTGAGTAATCATAGAATTATAGATCATATTATTTAGGATAACCTGACTAATCATACAAATATATAGATTACATCCATCCAATACGAAATATTGACCTTCGATTTGAAAAAATAATATTTATTTTTAAAACATGTCGATTTGTTTTTATTTAACTATGAATATTTTTTTTTGTAGAAAAAAACCACGAAATCGGTGAGCTACATGTCCATTATGTTTGGATGACAACAGGCACATACGTAGATTTTCGTATTTTCAAACGTATTTTATAAAAAAAATAAGATCATTCACATTGTACTGTTACGGGTCTGATATGTCTGCCCGACAATCGAATGTCCGACACTTCAATTTACCGACACTACGTTTGCCCGAGGCCTGACCATATATTTTACATATTTTTACTGTACGTAATACTGATATACAATATTTTATTACAATTTAAATATTTTATAATTATTATTATTATTATTATTTATTAATATACAATAATTAAAAAAAAAAAAATACTAAATCAGACGAATATTTTATCATGGATATTATCGTTCTATGTGAAAAGGTACTAAGTATTAAGTATAGTATAGTAGTATAGTATAGTATAGGGGTCGGCAACCCGCGGCCCACGGGCCGCATGTGATCCACGAAGCAAATTTTTATGGCTCGCACAAAGGTGGTTAATTTTTGTGTTTTATTTTTGTTCAATAAATTTTTCAAACAATTTTCAAACTATTGAATTCTTTTTTATTTATAAATAAAATTGTTATTATTATCTGATCGGACTCGAAGATAATGATGGCTGCACTACTCAGTCATAGGATAAATTAAATATGCTTATATATATTTAAAAATTAAAATTTTAAATATATTTAATCTATGTATTTAATACATATGTATCTAATATATTTAATCTATGGTCATAGTTACTTTGCGTTTGAGCAATTAGTATTACGCCCGTACGTGTAACTGTTTGCGTTTGCAATAGTTTCATTTTACAAGTAAATCCAAACATTATGGTGACTAAAAAAAAAAAAAAAAATTGTGATAAACATCGTTTTTTAATAATTCTTGTGTTGATTTATACTTTTTTGTCAAAAACAAAGGTAAACCATTCTGTTTAATTTGTCAAAAAATTAAATTTTTTCTTAAAAGCCATTTTTTCCTGTAATATTCGTATTTTTTACACTCATATTTTTATGTAAAATAATCTAATATAATAGCAATACAATTATTAGTATATATCATATGTAAAAATTTTTTTTTAATGTGGCCCTTGACAAACATTTGAAAAAAAAATATGGCCCACGTGGTTCAAAAGGTTGCCGACCTCAGTTATAGTATATTATATTATTAAGTTCTCAATCGTGATACCAAAATTAACGTTCTCAGTCGTATTTTACCGCTATTCGCGATAGATTCATAAGAATCGCTCATAACATTAAATTGTAAGTAGTATAATGTTTGTGTTATTATTAATTTTTGACACAATTATTAATTGCATTATTTTTAAGATTTAACATTAATTTGTAAATAACATAATAGGTATAATATAATATTTTATTGAAATTTTTAATAATTTTTGACACATATTTATTTATAATATAATTTGAGGTTGTCGGGCAAACATAGTGTCGAGCAAATCTGGTATCGGACAAACGTAGTGTCGGGCAAATGTAATGTCGGGCAAGTGTAGTGTCGGGCAATTAAATTTTGGGCAAATGTAGTGATCCCGTACTGTTATACCGCAGCAGTCACATAGCACAGCAATATGAAACGTTCTATAGTTATTTGACCGCGTTTTGAAATCAATAGACTATATCGTCCAAACTTACCGCTTCAAGTCATTCACCCTTAAATTCCTATGACAGGATTGGAAATTTCCTATGACTTATGTTTTATGCGGTCTCAAATTTTTATGACCCTTTTTCTTTTTTTTATTAGTGTACAACTTTCATAATTTAAAATAAATATATACACAAAAAAAATCAGTGTAAAATGCCACGTTTTGTATTTTACCTAAGGGTCTTAAAATGTCTAAATCGGTCCCCGTTTATAACTCCATAGTACACTTATAGTCTAATTATTTATATAATATACAACTTTTAGTGGTTTCCATAATATTATAAAATCACAAAATCATTATTTACCATATAATACATGATAATCTTATTCTTATATTGTTCGGTAAATACCGTGTGTGCGGAAAGACCGATGTCGTTTCGGGAAAGAAATAATTATTGTCACGATTGTCCTATTGCGATCGTTTTGGAGCCGAATTAATGATGAATAGTAAATAAATTGATCATCGTGAACTATCGCGAATACGTACGTTGTGCGACAATGGAAAACGGACGAGTGACGAGCTTCCAAGGGTGTGCGCGGGCGCGGGCACAGCGCGTGGGGGGTGTTTTCGGGTACGAAGGGGGTATTTGGGCGGGTGAAAAGGAGGCGCCCCGAAACTCGGGTAGTAGGTGAAAACTCGCCCCTTGGGTACCCGGTGAATGTGGGTCACCCGCCGGAAGACGGTCCGTGGCGTCGGTGCCCGTACGTGGGCCCGGCGGGCGGAGCGTGCACGTGTGCGACGGCGCCCACGGTAGCCTCGCCGTAGGATCACGCCCACCGCGGGATGTGACGAAAAGTCGGCGATCCGAGGCGGCCGGCGACAGTGGCTGCCGACGCGCTGTTCAAACGGCACGTGGTCACCCGTAGACACGAACACACCCGCGTGACACAGCTCGAGTAGACGAACGCAAACCATTTGTACACACGTGCCCGAGTAAGCTCACTCACGTACTTAGACGTATGAATAGGTCCTACACGCATACTCGAGCTGATCCACGAACGCGCACGTGACTCGAAGAAGTGACGAAATCATCGACAGTTTAAACCTAAAACCAGGTGAGATAAACTCATTGTTATGTTGTTATATGATATCATAAGCGACGCGTTAGTTAGTCTTAGTTTGAGTACCATTATTTTTATTTATGTTTGTTAGTATTTTCCGGTGCCAATGCGCCTCCGTTTGCAGTCGAAACATGCGCGCTTGTGCTTTTAGGCGAGATCCTACTTGTACTCGTATATGTAGCATGTGGTGCTATCTCAATGGAAATATCTCCGTAGATATTTGTTTTTTTTTCAGTTTAGAACAGAAAGGGGTCAACACTATTAATATATTAAAATATTTACTTTCAATTATAATCCGGTTGAAGCAAATTACTTTTGAAGTATTTATATACGATTAAAAAAAGGGTCGTTCTATGCTACAATTTGTTACCTGTGTACATTTCAAAGGATTGAATTTGAAAATCGAATAATTGGTTTCATACGGTTATACAGCTAACACTAGTCAATAGGAAAGAGACTAAGTGTGTGTTCATTGTTTTTATTAGCTCATTTACTAACAATAAGACCAATTCGTTCATTCCAAATAAGATAACTTTTTTTATCGACGATAATAATATTACAATGGTCATTCATAACTTCAACATTATATTTAGTGATTTACATAGAACCGTTTGGAAACAAGAAAAATAACATTTATTCCAGATTCAATGTATATATGTTATGTATTTTATTCCACAGGATACAGGATAATAATATATCATATGAGAAAACTAGTTCGAAACATTAACTGTGCGCGAATATCGAATACCCGTATAAATATGTTACGCGCGCGTTACCGCAGGTCTTGCCGATGGCACTACATCATTGTTTATTGTTTTAAATTGCTTTTACGTGACTTGGTTGATGTAATTTTTAAATTTACGCGTACTAAAGTAATGGTTTCCAAACAAACTGAAATTAAAACAGTACCAATACGCGAGGGCGTGTGTGGAAATCAAAAATATTAAACGGATTTCCCGAATATTGCATGTAACTAGAATGAAATAATAATTCGTATAATGATTAGATTAATTATTCGTGGGGTGCCGAACACCCATTCGGATAAATATTAAATTTTGATCATGGGATCATACATTCCTATTATTAGATTGGAATGTAAAATATTTTAACCTCTACAATGTTTAATAAGTAAATTAATACTTGTAATTGCAATTAAAATAATACGTATAATCATCCGAATAGTGATATTTTCGTTTGTTCATGTAAGAAAGACAAAAATAAGAAATGACAAAATAATATTCAAATACGAGTTCATATGCTTGCGAAAATATGATACGATCCGTTACCGCCCAAGGGCGTATTACGGACCGCCTTTCTTTTCAATTAATATAGTTACTTTGGAATTTTATGAGACCAATATACTGGCGATAATTGAGCATAAAAATACAATTATAACAGGATTTCATTTAATTAATTATCAGATTCGAAAGATTAGTATTCATCGTGTTTGAAAAACTAAATTTCAAATCAAATGTTTGTCTACCCAAAAAATGAAAATACAATTGCATGTAATAGCATGTACAATAAAGCTTTTATAATATCATTCTAATAAGAATTATACATAGAGAAATTTATAATTAGGAATAATCCAAAAACCAACATATAATTATGTTTTATTATATTATACCAAACGTAGAACTATTAGTATTACATGACTATGTATTTTTTTTCGTTGTGAAATATAAGATTTAAACGAAATACATGATTTAATCACCTATGAATTGACACAACTTAATTTATGGTTCATTTGTCAAACAGCATTAATATAAAAACATTGAAATTCAATATAAAATGTATATTAATCATTCAATTTTTTCTGTTTGAAAAATAATAATGAATTCGCTCTTTTGAGAATTGATACGTTTTTAGACTTCCATTAATTAAAACTGAAGATATTTCAATTTTAATCTGAACGTTATCTTAAAAAAAGCAAGACCATCCAAGCATTAACAAATATTTAATACGATTATTTGTCATTAGTAAATTATATTTTCTTTTTATAAAATTTATGTTCAGAGATAAAATGTAAAAAATATACATATTATTCTACTACAGTAAAATATAATTATTTCTTATAAGCTTCCGCAATTAAGTCAAATCAAATGGTGAATAATCGTATTTTGTACTCTACTAACATGCTGAATATGAAATTATTATAGTAATGATTAATTTTATGATTATTTTGAATTATGAGTAATGATTTTATTATTTATATAGGTAAAATCCATTCGCCCGCAAGATATAAAACTATACAGAGGAAAATTCGATAGTAAAATAATACACATGATACTATTACAGATATTATAATGATACAAAACATTTTTTTAAATTCGTTTCAGATTATTAGTTTATGTTTGTATATCTTGTAACGTATTATGTTCATTGTTTTGAAATAAATTGAACTTATGACTGTGGTTTCTTGCTATCGAATTAATTTTAGTAGTATCAAGAGTATTTAAAAAATTTAACATCACGAGTATAAAGAGACTAATTATTGAATATAATATTTAAAGAGGTTTTTTTTTTTTTTATATAGATACTTACTTGAAAACATTTTAAATTATTTTATGGAAAGCGGACTTATAGCAATAGACAGTGAATACTAACAAAGTCAAATAAACTATTTCAAATTAATGGTTTTATTACATATATATTTATAAAACTTAAGAAATATTTTATTGTTTAAAAAAATATAAACATTTGTTGTTTAAAATTATCATTTGTTTTATACTAACACAAAAATGTATAGAGATATTATAATTAAAAATAGCAAGTGCCGAGAATTTTTTTTTTATGTGAATCAATTATTCGTGTGAAAGAGTACTTTTTTAATCAAATATCAGTTACTTTAGTATATTTTCTATGACAATTTTTTTAGACTGAAGCATATCGTATTACTCAACAAAAAAGTGAATAGCTCAAATATAAATTCATAAAAATATATTATGCTGAACAGCTAATGTAATTTAACTATATGATATAGTTCTTTAGATGTGAATATAAATAATAGGCATAAAATAATAAAATAAGAAGCACAGGTTTAAGCTGTAAATCGTGTAAAGGACAACAATGAATAACAAGCATATTTTTTTTAACGATTTAGGGAGTATTAGGAATAGTAACTGAATAAGTTTATAGACTATAATAGTTTGGACTATAAAATAATAATTAATTTTGTAATTTGTAATACAACTAAAAATAAGTTGTAAATTATTGTTAGAAACGAAGATTAAAATTGATTTGTTTTCTATTGAAATATTTGATTGAAGAATTTTTCTTGTTCCGTAAGGTATGATAATTTTGTTTTGTTATTGAAATAATGTTATCACAGATAACGTCATATCCAAATCAAATCCTAGATATTTAACAGGTAATATTTGCCGATATAAATCTAAAAATTGTTTAGTTCCGACTAAGTTAACTTATTCACTTATTGGATAAAAACAAAAATTTTCAAACTTATAATAACTAACAGTAATTTTCGGTGCCTATATTTAAACGAGTATTTCTGTTATTTATATTTTTACCAAGATGTAATTATAATCGTATGATTTCTTACGAATCTTAAAACATATTAATATTAGGTTATTTAAACGCGTCATACGTTACTATTAATCATTCTAGGTGCATGGTAATTAATTTTAAAATGAAGAAATATCGTTCTACCGTCTATAAAAGCTTGCTCGTCAAATGCATTCCTATCCCCGGGAGGGTTTTCAATTTTAACGTTTCCGACAACAGGAACCGTGCCCGTCTATTTGGATTATGTTGCGTTTTTTACTCGTCCAAGACATTGCTCTTTTCCCCGGATACGATTTAATCTACATCTGGAAATAGCGGTGTGCGCGTATGAGTAGGGAGGGGGGTAGGTTTTTGCCTGATGACGGGGAAAAAAAATAAAAGGCAATCCGTGTCAACAAATTACCGTCGCGTTAAATCGGTCAGGAAGAAAAAAGTCGTACACCGACGACGTCCCAGTGTAGCATGGTACATACAGATACGGCCGTGGCTGCTGCAGTGGCGAGGGGTAAGAATTTCCGTCTGCGATATTTTATATTTTTTATATTTTTTTATTCCATTTTCGCTTTCGACAACAACAACCCTTCCTCGGGAGGAAAAAAAATTCACAAGGTCTTCCGGCGGTTGAAAGGAACTAACTGACCGATCTCAGTCGCAGGTCGATTGTTATTGCTCCTGGATGTAAAATATTTTTCAGCAATACGAATTCTCTTTTGTGCTTAAAACTTAATAAACCATATGAACGCCGGGAAATGAGAAAATTGAAGTCGTCTTATGTCGTTTACTTGTGATTAGAATTGTACACGATTACACGACTATTACACGACGAATATTAGTCATGACATTTTTAAGAATACGTCATAAATCAACATTAATCGCACCAAACGGCTTATTTATAGCTTAGCTCCAAAAATATTTACCATATAATGTATATTTTGATGTAAAAGTGTCACTGTACTGTTCGTTTACGATGTGATAATGTTCGCGTTTTCAATTGGAAAATTACATTAAAATGTAATGGCAGTTGGTCGAATGACTTTTAGTTGGACGCTAACAATTTTATAAAGTTAATCTTTTGACGGTTTCTTTCGAAATTAAATTTTATGACATTTTCGCTGATTACTATACGTGTTATATGCATTTATCAAATTAATACATAGTCGTTGAAATACGTTAGGGCCGTATAAAAAAAGCAATTCAAAATTTGAAATTATTTTGAGCATCGAAATCGTTTCACATTAAGTTAACCGTTTTACTAACGTTACACATAATAGTATTTGTGTAACCAACCGTTGTCATTTAATTATTATTAAGAGACATAGAATAAATTAGTGAAAGGATGATTTTCAAAAAAAATAATAATAATAGTAAATTTAAGCGTATAGATCATTTTATATACCCTGCACTTCAAACACTTTACGTAATGTATTTCTTTTAAATTTTACAAACTGAACGATACAAAATTTATAAACGTT